TCTGCTTTGCACTTGTTTTTCTCACTTAAATATATAATTAGGATTTGAGCTCAAGATATGTATTCTGAATTATCCTAGATTGGTGCCTATTGGTGCCTTCCTCTGGTTAAAATCAGAGGAAGGGATTTATAGAGTATTAACGAAATCTTTTTCTAAAATGTTTCACAATAACCCAATGCATTTTAGCACATATAAAATTTACTTTTATGCCCCTAATATATTTTAAAGGGTTTCTTCTACTATTCCAAGTCATCCAGTATTTGAAACACAGGAAAATGGCAGGAAGGAAATGGTTTCTTCCATGGAGAAATTTTACCAATGAATTTTTCTTTGTCAAAAACTCTGAAAACTGGATATTCCATTAGTAGACTCACAATCTAAAGTAAGCATGATAGTTTCTCCAAGTCAATTTCATCTTTAGTAAAATGAGAATAATGGTACTTGATCTCTATAGCCTTACTAAATGAATGATCTATTTAAAGCTCTTACCCTGTGCCCAGTATACAGAGTTTTTTTCCCTTTTATTTTGTTTTTGTTTCTTGAGACAAGATCTCACTAGATTGAACTTGAACTCACTACATAGTCTAGGGTGGCCTTGAGCTCATGGAAATCCTCTTGCCTCAGCTTCTTGAGTGCTGGGATTCTAGGTGTGCATGCTTGGCTCACAGGTATTTTGTGAGTCACTTTCCTTACAGCTTTCTTTCCATGGTTCCAGCACTGGCTGAAGAATTTGTGGAGCTCAGTGTAGATTGAAAATATGGAGTCTCTCATTCAAAACCAAAGCAATAGCAGAATATTAAATGAAATGTAGGAGTTCAAAATGTGAGGCCTAGGCTACACACTCATAAAACCAACCCTGCTCACTCTGCTGTGCTTCCCAAAGGTCCAGTTTTCTCCCTTTCCACTAAATTATAAGCCGTTCTTCAAATCTGACACTGACAAGGAAGTAAATGCAGTTGACTAGAGAGAGTGTGATTATGCGTGTTGTATTTTTACTGCCAACTCACTTTTACTTAAGCAACATGTCGAATGGTAGTAAGCCTAAGGCTTTTCTAAAGGGACTGGTTTTATTTGGCAAGGTATGTCATTGGTTTGCATCATTCTCAATCTGGGAGAAAAGAAAAGAGGGAAAGAATGAAGGAATGAATGAAGAAGGGAGAGAAATGAAGGAGACGGAGGAAAGAAAAAAGAAAGAAAGAGGGCATAGAAAGAAAGAGAAAGCAAGCAAGCACTTAGTTACAAGAAATGGAATGCTTGAGTTACAGCTGCAGAGGCGTTCAGTGGTCACACAGGCACTCAGTGCTAAAGCTCTCTACTTAAACTTACCAAACAGCATTCACACAAAAAAGGTGGTCTTTAAACAGGCGAATTAGATTCTGTGCAGATATTTTGAGATCTACTGCAAATGTGTAGGAAATAAGAGGAAAATTTGGTCTCTAACTCCCTGAGCCCCAGCTCTACTTGTTATTTGTCCTTTATAGTTGCATCAGCATGTCCTTTAAAGGGTTTCTCAAAGTGCTTATATCCTGTTTGATAAGAATCAGTATCATAAAAAAAGTTTGAATATATGTATGTACATAAATTAACAAACACATAAATTGTCTCTAAATAAGAACTCCGTTTTATAGAAAATAAAATTGTTTGAATCAATTTGGGTAACCATGTTCCGGGAACGTGGATTCAAGATACTCTGAATGACATGTTCCAAAGTGAAAGTGGTTACTTAGCTTTTATAGTCAAAGAACAAAGAAAGTGATAAATCAATATGTTCAACAAATACAGCTGGGTGTGGTCGTTTGCACTTGTACTCCTCCCTATTCAGAAGGCTAAGGCTGTAGAATTGCAAGTTCAAGGTTGGAATTGGAAATTTAGCATGACCTTGTTTCAAAAAATAAATAAAATAAGTTTAGGGATATAGCTCGATGGTAGAGTGCTGATCCAACATACAGGAGGCTCTGGGTTAAATTTCCTGGATCCAATTTCCAGTACCACAAAATAGATTAGTGGGGGTAGTAGGTAGTCTGGCTACATTTGGAGAGGTTACCTAATAATCATTAGAATGTGAGGTCATATATAACAAAGATTAAAAGTAAATGCCTGGGCCAGGGATATGGCTCAGTGGTATAGTGCCTGCCTGGCAAGCATGAAGTCATGAGTTGGATTCTCTATAGAATAAATAAACAAACAAACAAATAAATATAAAATAAAAGTAAAAGCCAGTCTGCCCCTCTTGTGAGTCGGCAGAAGCCATCCTGGGACTGGAAGGAGTGTAAGAAGCCAATTTACTCTTCCCGTAAGCTGTCCAAACTATGAGAGACCCAAGAAGAAAGAAGCTAGTTCACCCTTCCCCTGAGCCACACAAGCCATGTAGGGCCCAGGAAGAGAGAAGCCAGTTTGACCCTCCTGTGAGCCAATCAGTGCGTGGACTGAGAATCAAAACCCCATCACACACACCAAACAACCTGCTGGTTCAGAGTTCAGAGGACAGGCTGAGTTGATATCAACTGAGGTACAAAAACAACTAAATGCTTGTATTGTTTGATTGACTTTTCAGGCCTAAGGCAAGTAGTCTGAGCATCCATTAGGTAGGTAACAGAATGCAATAGAGCAAATATAAGGCATTTCCTTCTGTCTTGTTTTTGAAATCCAATATTGCTCTCATTATTTAGTTTTGTCCTGATTTATTGTTTTGTTTTATTTAATGTCCTGTTTTGATTGGTTTTATTGTTTTGTTTTATTTGATTTTACTATGTCTGATGGTATGGACAACTATTGTGAAGTTAGCAAAGAGATTATGGTAGCCATTGTAGATTTCCTATTATTCTGTTTTGAAGTTCTGTACCACTTTCACTGTTTTGTTTTAATTGGCTTTATTCTGTTTTACTTGGTTAGGTTTTATTCTCTTAAAAAAAAAAAAAAGTAAATGGCTGTTGTCCTAAAGAACTTAAGAGAATTCAGGATAATTTTGGCTTTTGACCTACAACACACCATCTCTCCACATAATGATGTTTTACTCAATCAAAGTCAAGAAAGACAAATTTTTTTCTACTGAAAGAAACACACACACACAAACATTAACCCACACAGGCACAAATGGCATCCTAACAAGGAAAAGGGAATGCTGATTGGCCCCAATGTGCCTAATTCTTTATATTCATTGCAATATTAAAGTATATTAATTTTTATTCCTTCATTAATCTCAAGACAATTTTTTAAAGAATAAAATACACTTTTGTTATATAAACTTTTATTTAGAAACTTTCTTTTCATAAAATATATCTCACTAGCAATTCCCACAGTGTGAAAATAATTTCTTACAGTTTTATATTTGTAGACAGATTTTAGGGCAAGTAAAGAATTACTGACAATAATTTGTTTGGACTATAATATTTTGATACATGTAAGAGATCTCATAGATCTTGTCTAAATTCACAAGCTCTACAAAATTTTCTTCCTAGGATTTAGAGATCTGTATATTAGCATCTCCTATTTTAAAGTTTCTCTAGGGTATATAATGATGATTTGCTTGAACCAATTGAACAGTGAAGTTTCCAAAAGTAAATACTGATTTTCTGCAAAATCTTTACTCATTAACAATATTTCCTTTTGTCCATTATTTCTCAAAAAATACAGAAGTATGATCATGTATTAGTAATAATAAAGCTGAATCCTCTAAGAAATTGAGTAAATTGAAAGGCAAAGTTCATATGTAACATTTAGTTATCCTGAGTCTTGTGACAACCTCATTAACTCATCAACATATAAAACCTGGTCTCACCATTTCTTGGATACAATTTCTCTCCAGCTGTTTCCCCAGAATTAAATTCTGAAAATACCTATGTGATGAAGTTTGTTCACCAATGGACTTAACTGTTATTTCTTCCTTATAGTGAGCTGAATCGCACCACAGAACAGAGGCAGACTCTTATTAAGACTCTTATTAATGAGTCAACTCTTATTAAAGTATTAAGTCAAAAAGGTCAGAGCTTTCACAGCATGGCAACAGTTTTGCATATATCTAAGTCATGAGAGCCTAAATAACAAAGTTCAGCAAAAGTCAAGGTCAAAGAGTATTGAAAGTCCTGCCTCGGCAGCATCCGTTTGAACATAGTAACAACTCATCCTAGGCCTCGGTGGCTACAGAGAGGTAGGGCTGCAGCTAGGGAGTGGTCCATCCGCACAGACCACGCTTGGAACAAGACTTGAGGCTTGGTGACGGGTGAACATGCTTTGCTGCACAACACGCTGGGGCAGGTTGGTTCTGAAGAAATGCTGAGACCTGAGCAAGTCTGCCCACGAACCACAGCAACAGAGCTCAGCCTGTTTGAGAACCCTAGAGGTCATCCAGCCTCAAGAGAACTACCATCTTGTGTTTCTCAAGATATTTTGTTAAAATGGTGGAGCAGCTGGGACTTAGAGGAAATATAACCGGCCCAAATCACACAGCAAGATGCTGGATCTGGATTAGAAATTTTCAGATTTTCTTTTTTTGGTGACAGGATCAAACTCATGACCTTATGCTTGTCAGGCAGGCACTGTGTCACTGAGCTATATCCCTGGCACCTGAATTAGAAATTTTATCTGACCTCTTCCCTTCTAAAGCTCAGAATCAAAATTTCAGTTTTGATGTATATATCCAGTTTCAATATATTACAGCCTTTTAAGTAAAAGAAAGAAAACATACTTTCTAATTACACTAGTTTACACAGCTGCTTTGCTTTTTACCCGATTTCCTCTCATTCCGAATCCCCACAAATGACTAGGTGGAGGGCTTAGCCACTTTGTTAGCAGTCGATCAGATGAAGAGTAAAGGTAAAAAATTAACATTTGAGTCACAGGCCTAACACTAAAGCGCTTAAGAAAAAAAGTGAGCAGTGTGGCATTTCACTCTCTCACTTCCGGCCTCTACTGTGTTGCACAAAACTCCAGCACGCATAGCTGAGTGATTCTCTGAGCTCGCTTCACTTCGGGCTCCAGGCCGGTCAGCCACTACTGCGCAGGCGTGAGGACCCGAGCGATTAGGGGGCTGTGGGCCCGCGGTTTCCTTGGAGACCGAGTTGAAGCTGCCGGAAGTGGAACTGCAGTCGGCGGCAGCAGCGCGGGGGGTGGGGCCAGAGGACGAAGGTGGCCGCTCCGAGGACCAGGACTAGGATGAAGATCCTGCTATGGAGCCGGCGGACGCGGGGGCGGCTGGCGGCTCGCAGGGTGCGCCAGGGCCTCAAGAACCCGGCATTCTCCCTGGGCGTGAAGGACAAGGTTGGGGCGGGCGCCCGGGGCTGCGAACGTTGGGCCGTGCCTCCCTCACCCCTGTTCGGTTCCTTTCCTTTTCTGGGCCCTCTTCTAGGTGTTCGCGACTAGTATCTTGAGAGCGAGGACTTCGCCCCGTAAGAGCAGGAAGGGCGCTTCGGTCCCACAAATGCGTGTGGAACGTACATCTGTACCGCCCCCCACACACACCCACGGGAGGGGGCGGTAGTCCCAGCAGCAGCCCCGGAAAACTCCACCCGCTTCCTGGCCGGTTACGGTTGCAGAAGCTGTGGACCTTGTGGCTCCTCTTCCTGGACCGAGGTTGAGACCTGGCCTTTCTCAGGTGGAAGGCGTGGCTCAGAACTTCGCACGTCTGTGGTTGCTTCTGTGGTGACCTATTTCCTAGTGTTAATATCTTAAAACAGCGTTTTGACACATCTGTCAGGAAGAAATTAACATTGGTGTGCCAGTAACTAGCAATAATATATTCAGATTTGGCTTTCTACTAATTTTCTTTTCTTCTTCAGGATCCAAACTAATTGCATTTACCCTGATATTTTTAACCATAGCTATGAGCACGATTCACCTCTGACACTTCTCCACTCATGGCATAGTTTTTTTTTTTTAAAGTATTTATTGGTGCGGGGCCTTGATTTCAGGACCTCCAGCAAGTTGAGCTTCTGCACGACCAAATGAATTATGCCCCAGTCCCTAAATTTTAAAATCTCATACCAGTGTACTAATGCATTCTTTCAATTTATTGTTTATTGTTGTATTCCAAGTTCTGTTCTAGGCCCTGGGGATTTAGCACTAAAACAATCTATTTTCATGTGGGAGCTAAGTATATTTCACTCTTACTTACCGGTTGATTTTTGATATTTTGTATTTCAGATTTTTTTTTTTAAAGTGGGACAGGTACTAAGGATAATTTTCTAGTTGGTCCGAAATCAGCATTGTTTCAACTTAACTACCTCCGATGATTTATTCTAACAGTAGAAACTTCTCTGTGGTAGTAGTCAGTTATGTTACTGATCAACATTTTTCTACCCTCAAATTGCTATTCTAAGAAAAATAGTGTGCAAAGAGATGCTAAGTAAAGTATTGAAGACCCTACTGTAGATGTAGTTTCATTTTTTTAAATGTCTAGATGCTTTGACATAAGAATCCAGAGAAAAAAGTTGAAACTACTGTGAATGCCTTCCCAGACAAAATATTGTAAAGAACTGTTGGCTGCTCAGAGATAATAAGCTGCCTGGATATATTGTTTGTTTCTTTGTATAATGTGCAGCAGTTCCTGATCAAGTGGTGCCTACGCGAAACATTTCACCCAGAGTCATAGTACATGTGGATCTAGATTGCTTTTATGCACAAGTAGAAATGATCTCAAATCCAGAATTAAAGAACAAACCTTTAGGTAATTCTTGACATTGATATTTTTTGTTGTATAATGATAATAGAACTAGCTACTTACAGTATACTGTATTGATTAAGCATGTTAAACATTTTGAAAGCTGTTAAGGTTCTTTATAGGCAGTATTTGCTTCGTAATCAAGTATAAACTTCATAAACCTCACTAAATGATAACTGTTAAGACTAATACTGGATAGTTAACTGAATTAATAGCAAAATAAACTTTGTTTTCTATATTAAACATTAACAGTTTTCTAGGAAGATATTTTTTCAGTTTGAAATTTTACAAACCTAGTATGTCAGAAATGCTCTTGTTATTTTATTGCATTTTAGTGGAAGTTTTCATCTATTTCTTTTTAACTTAATTCTTGAATAGTAATGTCTAACAGTTGGATTTTAAACAGAACTGTAGTAACAGCAAACTTTCAGCAGCAACTCAAGCAAATTTTTAAATAAAAGAAATTTTACATTGAGGATTTATATATTGATATTTTTCATATTTTAACATTTATTATTATATCTTGCATTGGAGAATAAGGATTTCTTTCATGCATGCCGGAAGGATATTTTAGTGTCAGTGTAGGGAACAAGTTTGCATTTCTGCTATCTTCCTGTGCCTTTTCAGCTTCTTTGATAATTTATAGAACAAAGGAGTAACTAGTTTTTGGCATACCAGGGTAAGGCTAGGATCTTTAAACTTTGCGAAGGATATCAAGAATTTAGGATTAAAGGATCTAAATTTTTTCTTCTGCAGACATTTCTAATTGTAATAGCAATGCAGCACAAGATGCTCTGCAGATAATACATATTAAATTGTCTTATGTAAGAAGTACAAATGCATGATGATGAAGTGAGGGATTTGAATGCTGTGCATTTCTTGGAAAAAAAACTTTAGTCCCATTTATACTTCACAAATACATTATTAACTCAAGCTGTGATATACAGTAAGGAATCCTTAGAGTGTAATTCTATAAAAGACTTTATGGAAGACTTTACCAGCCTGATTTTTATGTGTTTCACTGATAATTAAACTATTACCTTTGACCTAGGGATTATATTTTTGAATATACTCTGATATAAAGAAATTAATACTTTGTCTAGTTTACGGTATTAAAAATTTAAGAACAGTTCCCTATGATGTTATCATTATCTAAAACATAGCAATAAAATTAATTAGAAAAAAACTAAAAACAAACCAGGTGAGGTAGTGCACATTTGTAATTCCAGCACCTGAGAGCTGAGGTGGGTGGATAGGCATAGGTTTGAGGCCAGCCTTGGCAAGGCCATCCTGGACTAGATAGTCCTGTCATAAGACAACTACAAAACACAAAAATTTAAAAACAAATTGTAATGGGAATGGGCACAAACTTTTATGTGTTTGCATTTACATATTTTTTAGATGAACATTGCTTTTATAGTGGTGTCAACTTGCCAATTTGTTTTTAAAAAGCAAATTTTAGATGTTTTAAGTTGCCAATAAATTAGAATTTCTGTGTAGTCTGTGGGTGATCATTTCTGATAGGGAGCTTATAAACCTCCCTCATTATCAAATTGTCTGGAGCGTATAATAAAGAACAGTAGTAATTAGGGTATTAATTGGGGAGTGATGCCTAACAATTGCCATAAGTTGGCACTTGTAGCAGAACATTGGTTTTATCTACTGGCAGTTTACTCAGAAGATACTGTAAGTGGATTTTCATAGGCAGCAACAAGTTTTTAATTTTTTTGACTGTTTTACATGATATGAATTAATGGGATTTTGTGTTTGAAAAAAATCCTAGAATGATTTGATTTCTGTCTTATCCATATAAAATACTGATTTGCGATGATCTTTGTTTAATGCACAGCTTGACTTGTATAAGAATAATAGACCTACATTCTAATATATGATTCCTACTACTGTTACTCAGTGTTTAACTTGGTAACATCCTTCTTCTCCAAAGAGACAAAACAACCAAAGATTAAAAGTATAATATGGAAAGCTGGATGCAGTGATGCATGCTTATAATCCTGGCCCTAAAGGAGTGTAAGGCAGAAAGATTTCAAGTTGAGTTTCCAGTCTGGTAATTTAATGAGACTGTGTGACAGAAAAAAAAGGGGGGTTGGAATTATAGCTCAGTGGCAGAGTACATCTGGGTTCCATCTCTAATACCAAAGGAGGAAAACAAGGTAGGATGGATATGGAAAAATAATGTTTTACTACCTTATAATTCATAGTTAGGAGAAAGCTCAAAAACATGTGTCTTCAGAGAGTTTTGACGAACAGGCTGCTAAAGACATCTTTTTATGAAAACACATTGCACTGCAAGTGAAACTCTTGTGAAATGGAATTAGTAAATCATATTTTAAGGTGTTTCTTCAATCCTGTGTGATATTCACAGTGTTTGTTTTTTTGTAGGTGTTCAACAGAAGTGTTTTGTGATTACTTGCAATTACGAAGCCAGAAAACTTGGAGTTAAGAAATGTATGAAAGTGAAAGATGCAAAAGAAAAGTGTCCACAGTTGGTATTAGTTAATGGAGAAGACTTGACTCGTTATAGAGAGATGTCCTATAAGGTTACAGGTACAAATTACAGACAATGTATACTTTAGCATTAATTTTTATACAGGATTCCTAATATGCATTCAATAAATTATAAATGCCATGAATCAAGTTTTTTTTTCCAAAAAACTTTATTTGGGGTCCTATCTACTTTAAAATTCTATAAGAGGGTGACTTATGAATAATGTTGACAAAATATGTATAATTGGAAGTAATTTGAATTTTGCAGTGACTATAGTACATATAAATAACCACTGAGTCGTTGCCTAGTATGTGCAAAGACCCCTGTTCAATCTCAGACCCCCCCCCAAAGGTAACTGTTATTGAACCAAGTGATGCCACTGCTAGAAACTGATTAAATAGAAATAAAATCATAAGTACTTAAAGATACCTGTTCAAAATTATTTTAGCATGGTGTGTAACTGGCAAAAGAATCTAGCTTCAGGAGTGGAATAGTAAAGTAGTATTAGTGGTTCACCAGCTTTATACATGAGTCTATATTTAACTTTTCCTCTTAAAGCTTTCTTGTCAAGAATTCAGTGTGTCAGTAATATGGGTATCAATTAAAGGGGATGTTCTTGTATTATATTGTGGAATAACTGCTTAGTGAGAATTTATCAGTCTGATACTGAAAAGTTTATGAAAGCAAGAATAGCTCTATTTGTTATCTATTAATATTTAAATTTTATACAAAATCAGTAAATACAGTAGTTCTTTGAAGAGTGTCACTGAGTTCCCTATGATTTTAAGAAAAATAAAATCATTCATGTCCTGAAATTAAAATAATACTTACCTTTTTAAATGTAGTATTCTTTTGATGTTATTCTAAATGTTATTTTTGAATATTAGGTATGTATTTCTGAAAAATGATAGCAATTCTTTATAATCAAATAAGCGGTCATTTTGTCCTCAAAGGAAATAATGGATCTCTAGGTGGATCCGAAATTACTTTAGATGTTTACCAGGTCACATTGTTGTCTTTATTGTTTCTACTTTTATCATTGTTGGCATCCATAAAAGATAGGTGTTTTAGTATTTTTGTGAAATAAGATCTGTGTGGAACGACTTAGTCCTTTTACTTTCATCTTATAGTGCCTTAAGCCCCCATCGATTTTCATGTGCTAAGAGAGGTACCGTCAGCTTATTCTGTCCATCAGTTCCATATCTACGGGTTCAACCAACTGTGAATTGAAACTATAAAACATTTCTTCTGTGCTAGACTTATGCAGACTATTTCTTGTTCTTCCCTGGACAATATAGTATGACAATTATTTGTACTGTGTAAGATACTGTCAGTAGAGATGATTTAAAATATATGGGAGGACGTGCTTAGGATATATGCAAATACTATATCATTTTATATAAGAGACTCAAGTATCTGCTGGTTTGGTCCTAGAACCTGTGTATACCAAGGAACTACTATATTTCTGTCACTCAGCTTGTATCAATAAAAGGTGATTTAGACAGAAATGAAAAATTCTTCTAAGTTTCAGAGTTATTATTAGTTAATTTTAGTAGGTGAGAATTGATAGTCCTTTTGAATTTATTCTTAATATTGGTGAAGTTCAATTCAATAAACATTTGACTTAATGATTTATTATGCCAAATGCTGGGTATTTGAATACCAGTAAGTTCTGGTTCATCTTTGCTGTTCTACTCTTAAGAAATATTCTGGGGGTTAAGGGATGTAGCTCAGCAGCACAGTGCCTGCCTGGTAAGCATGAGTTCCTGAGTTTGATTGCCAGTGCCAAAAAAAAAGAAATATTCTAGGGGATGGCTAATCAAAATACTGTACTACAGTATTTTTTTGAAATTTAACTGACTTTTGTTTGACTCAATAAGTAGAACATTTGACAGTTACTTTGTTTTGCCTGTTTTAAACTCTTATGGAAAATATAGCTAAAATACATTATTAGATTTTTTTTTTACTTTTCTAAACAGACTAGTTTATTTGATACACTGCTTCAAGATTATAATTAACTCTAAGCATTGGTATTAATATACTAGAGATACAGAAATAATAGAAGATTGAGCTAAATATATTGTCATTAGAAATTGTCGTGGGAATGTCATTTTTGGACTTACTTCATTGAAAAATATTGCCTTTACTGAAAATGCTCTATAGGAAAAACATTTTTCATTAAGAGAGGGTGTTATTAACATAAATTATTCATATATTAAGGTTTATTAAAGATACTTTATATATAAACCTTTAAAGATATATTTAATGTGCTTTAAGCATTAGAGCTATTCTAATTACAATTTTGATTACATCAGTATTGTAATATTTCAATCTAGAATTGTTGGGAGAGTTTACTCCACTTGTTGAGAGACTTGGATTTGATGAAAATTTTGTGGATCTAACAGAAATGGTTGAGAAGCGACTCCAGCTACTACAAACTGATGAACTTGCTGCTCTGACTGTGTCAGGCCATGTATATAGTAATAAGTGTGAGTGGGTTTTATTCATTTTGCTTAATGACTAAAAGTACATGTATTTCTTAATGTTAAATGAATTCATTGTGTCACTTGAAAAACTTAGGACTTTGCATTGAGGTATAGCTATATTTAGTCAGTAATCTGTCTAAGATAACTAAAATTAGGCATTGCTATTCCATAGTAAGTGCAAAAAGAAAGGACTTTAATGATATAGGTCAGTAGTCTACGTATTTTTCATGTATTTTTGGGTCTGATATAGTGTGTCTGTGCCATTTGTTTTACCATCCTTTGGTCATCCCCTGATGTTGTTCTCTGACTTTCTAGGTAAGTGTTATACCACTAAGCAATCCCTGCAGTCCTTTATTTACTGACTCTCTTAAGTTAACAGCAGTGGAATCTTGTCCAGGCCATGGAATCATGTCTACCATGTACTAGTGTATTCTCCAAGCTCCTATTTAATCATTCAAATAATTATTAGTATTAGCAAAAAGCAGCATGATTCGTCTTCATTCCATTAGTAAGTTGTGAATGACTGATAATATTTTCAGGGATGTTTGCGTTGAAAATAAGTAAGTGCCAGTGAGAATCTTAATTGGACTTATAGACATCGTGTGACTGCTGGTGACTCTCCATGTCCTACCACATAGAAGACAGGCTGCTCTGCTTTTGTGTAGGAATTGCTGGACCCTTTTAGTCCTAGGCCTTAGCATGTACACCTCATATACCCCTATTTTGAGGGCTGATCATCAGTCTCCTATATTGTTTTCCATGGAAGGAAAGGGCTACCCTTTTTTTGTAAAAGCTCCAGCTTTGAGGGGATACAGAGCATTTCATGTTCCCTGTATACCTGTGCTTTTGTGTTAAAGCACTGAGTTGCAAGAAGATTCAGAACATATTTCTGTGTAATTTTTAAAGCACAATCAGATTTTATTGATTGAAACATACCATTGTACAGAGCTAGATTTCATATCCCAAATAGGAAATTCCTGATTATTCAGTGATCTTTTACCCAAGATTAAAAAGTTCTATTCCAAACCTATAGAAAAGTTGATAGAAACATTGCAGTGAATACCCATTATATCTTGTAGGTATTCCACATGTCATTTTTCTGTGTTTAGCTTGTTCTTTTTGTGGAAAGACTGGTTGATTGATGAGCCATTTAAAGTGCATCGGAGCCAGGTGTGGTCACTCATACCTGTAATTCCAGCACTAGGGAGGCTGAGGCAAGAGGATCTTTGTGAGTTCAAAACCAGTCTTGGCCACAAAGTGAGCTCAAGGCCAGCCTGAACTGCATAGCAAGACTCTCTCTCAAAAAGACAAAACAAAACAAAACAAACAAACGGTGCATTGGGGCCAGGGATATAGCTCAGCGGCACAGCACCTGCAGTCTCAGTACCGAAAAACAAAAACAATAAATAAACGAAGTGCTTTGCAGAAATCATGACACTTCCTCCCTGAATCTCTCTAGCATGAGTGCAGAGGCTAAGGATATATGTAACTCTTACTATTTCATGCCTACAAAAATTTGTTTTTATGCAGTTTCTCTACACTTTTCAAGAAAGTTCTCTTAAAGTTATGTACAGGTCAGAAATGTTTTAGCAGCACATAAAGCGAGTGTGTAAAATTTAAGCATCAATGCCAGTAGGAATTTTTTGACAGATCAGTTTTCATAATCTGTTTAAGCATTCTTAGTACATATTTATTACCCCTGGAATTTACTTGTGGTAATTGTTTACTTTACATATTTCTATGGAAAACCAAAGAAATAAGTCAGAGGGGTAGCAGGGGAGTGGCAGCAGAGGTAAGGGTTTGGGTGTAAACAGCCCTGTACCTTTTTAAAATTCTTGTAAAAAAAGAAAACTACAATAATTTTATGTGACTTTTAACAATTTTTATAGCTGTAAACATGAATGATATCATGCACATCAGACTACTTATTGGATCTCAGATTGCAGCAGAGATGCGGGAAACCATGTATAATCAGTTGGGACTCACTGGCTGTGCTGGAATTGCTTCTAATAAACTGTTGGCAAAATTAGTTTCTGGTGTCTTTAAACCAAATCAGCAAACAGTCTTACTACCTGAAAGTTGTCAAGATCTCATTCTTGGTTTGAGCCACGTAAAGGAGATACCTGGTAAGACAAACAGATTTTAAATGCTTGTATTGACTTTATTGTATTTCTTTATAACCTTAAAATTTATAGAGACAGCATAATTCCTGGAAGTGTGTACTTGGCTCTTGGAGAAGACTTCAACCAAAGCGAAACAAACCTGTAATGTTTCCTGGAGCAGATATGTATAAGGAACTTTGCTATCTGTGATCATAAAAGTTATAACCTGGAAATATATGATCTTTTATTACCAGTCTGTGTGCTCATACTCCACGCTGTGCATTGTATCCATACAGGAAAGTTCATTTTTCACCAATGGCCCATGGGAATTACATATAAAATATTTGAGCTACAGTGAACCTTTCAAGTTTCTAGGCCAAGTTTCTCATTTTAAAGATGAAGGAACAGATTTCCTTGAGGGAGGGGTTCACTGAATAATAGGTCATAGGGCAAGCTTGTATCTTTAGAGATCAAATACTTATGTTTTTATAACCACAATGAACATTAAATAAATTTCATTACAGTAGCAGTTGTGGAGAATGAGATGAGTAAATCTGTTAAGACAGTTAAAATGTAATTTTCTCATTTTAACCCGTTTGATTCTAAAATGAAGCATATACTGTCTTGCCTTCCTTGATATAGTACAGCAGTACCTTGGTTTACAAACTTAATTTGTTTTGATTTTGGGGAAGATGGCTACATTGGTGTGTGTGTGGAGAAGATGCCTGCGATTGTGATTATAACCCAATGCAGAGTTTGCAAATCAAAGCAAAATTTTGCAAAATACATTTGTTTGTGAATCAAATCGTTTGCAAACAGAAGTGTTCATGAACTGAGGTGTCATTGTATAATTTGAAAATTTGGGCCTGCATTCTGAAGAATAGTGTCATACTAATACACTGAGGACGGTATATTGGTGCAAAACATTTTTACTTGCTTTGTATTTTGAGTGACTGTATGTGTTTTTATAGGCTTTTGATTTTTGCTCATTGCTATTGCTACTCTTCTTTTCTTTTCTTTTTCTTTTTTGGTACCGGAGATCAAACTCACAACTGGGCACTTGCAAGACAGGCGCTTATGCCACTGGCTAAATCCTCAGCCTCTCCTCCTTTATTTCTACTATAAAACATCTATCAGTCCACTTTAATAATTATTCCACCCTTCACCTTCTCTGTTCACTAGATTTACTGTGCAAGAAAACCTGATAGTTACAGAATTACTGTTTTTTGTTTTGTTTTGTTTTTGGTATGTGGGATTGAACTCATGACCTCCTGCTTGCCAGGCAGGCTCTTGTGCTGCTGAAAATCCCTGGCCCCTAGAGTTACTATTTTTTTAAATGAAAGAAATACAAAGGTATTAACTGATCTGTTTCTTCTGTGAATAAAATGACTGACTTTTAGTGCAAAAATTGCATAGTAGGACTTTTGTAAGTAAGATTTTTTTTGTTTTCTTGCTCTTAGTTGTATTGTCATTAATACTGTAAGATACCATCTTGCACATAGAAAACAGCTTAGCTAATAAACAACATGAATTAAAATTCCTGTAGTGATATTTTTGTTTACATTAATAATCATGATTCTTGAGTTTTTCCACAATACTTTATAACAAGTGATAAAAATTTCATTTTATCAAGACAGACTATTGGCTGTCTATAAACTTATTTTACTATACTACACACAGAGGCTTCAACTATAACTCAGGGGGGCTAAGTAGAAGAATAACCTAACGTGCAACAGAGTTTGATTGAGTGAAAAACTTTTTTTTTTTTTTTGCTTTGTAGTCCAAGCTGGCCTTGAGCTCAGTGTGTAACCCAGGTTGGTTTTGAACTTGGAACAACCCTCCTGCTTCAGCTTCTCAAGTGCTTGGGATTATTAGCATATGCCACCATACTCAGCTGATTTTAGCAGACTATTACAGTACTTATGGAATTTAAGAGATGGTTCATATTTTTTTTAACATTTTAATTAACTTTAAGGAGTAAAGGTACCGTAACACTTTATACATTTTTTGTTGTTGTTGTTTAGGTATTGGCTATAAAACTGCCAAATGTCTTGAAGCACTGGGAATCCATAGTGTGCATGATCTTCAAACTTTTTCATCCAAAATATTAGAAAAGGAATTAGGAATTTCATTTGCTCAGCATATACAGAAGCTCAGTTTTGGAGAGGACAATTCTTCTGTGATACCCTCAGGACCACCTCAGGTATAAGACCATGCTATTTAACTTGATTAAGTACTGGTGGTCACAGTACTTGGAATAAAGATTTCTAGCATTTGTATTAGCCGAGTTGGCTTTTCTAGTTTATTATTATGTTTTTACTGTTCTCATTTGCTTTTCAGTTAGTAAATGATCCCTTTCCTCTGAGATGTCTAATTTATTATGCTAGATTAATAAATATTCTTAAATTGAAACTTTGATATTAGTATTTTTAATCCTAATGCTAGCCGCTTTGTATACAACTTAATTTTATTAGCTTCTGATGGCACATGTGTGGCAAATATTTAATCTTTTAAAAATCTTGTATTCTGAATAGGACAGTGATTTAAAAGACAAGAATAAGTATAATCACCCAGCTAATACTGATTTTTTTTCCTAAGTAACAGACATTAGGTGCTTTATTTAGCCCACTTAATCTTCACAACAAGTTTCTGAGTTAGGCAGTAGTAGGACTGTTTTTTCTTTCTTCTGCCCCCACCTTTTTTTTTTAAAGATTAGGATAGCATACTTCAGAAAGGCTAATAACTTATCCAAGGATAAGTCACACTTGGTTTTAGCGGATTAAAATTCTGGTTGTAGTCATACAGTAAAGTTTGGGATTGAGACGAGTTCCATAATTTCTTGACTTCCAATGTACTTTCTCTTGGAGGACAATAACTTGCAGATAAAAAGAGTTAATATAAATGTGAAATAAATGGTTCAAACTAAGCATGAGAGATAAGTTAATAAAGAATGTGTTAAGTATTTATTTGACATATACTGCTAATTAGATATATTTATTTGAGTTTACATTAATTGTTGTTTATGCTTCTTTGGTAGTCCTTTAGTGAAGAAGAATCATTCAAAAAATGTTCATCAGAAGGTGAAGCTAAAAAGAAGATAGAAGAACTACTTGCTATCCTTTTGAATAGGTGATTTTAAGTCTATTTTGTTGAGTCTTCAATTCTACATGCATTCACACTCATATGTTCTAACTTGCATTTTATGGATTAATTGGAGACTTAAATAATGCCCTTCATCATACGGCATTTATCAGCTATATTATAAACTATGGCAGAGATAGTAATACGTGTTTTTTGTTCTTTGGTTTTTGTTTGCGTGTTTGTTTTCTTGAAACAGGGTCTTGCTATGTAGTTTGGGCTGGCTTTGAACTCACTATGTAGCCCAGGCTGGTTCTGAAGTCATGGCAGTCCTCCTGCTTCAGCCTCCTGAATGCTAGGATTATCGGCTTGGGCAGCCATGCCCATTTTATGTTTTTATCTGATTTAATCCATCTACTTCCATTGTCCAGTACTTCCATTAGTCTTCTAGTGGCATGATGGTTGTACTGTACATCTTAAACTATAGTAAACCTGAATTGTTTTTATGGATATTCTTAGTCCCTAGATATGTTCAGCTCCCTAGGTGAGAAGAAAGTTAATCTTTCTTGATGGCAGTTACAAAGCCTTTGCCCTTAACAATATAGTTACTAGTATTGTCTTTGCAGAATTCGTAAATTCCTTCAATAGGAACAGTTCCATAAATTGTGATGGTTGAGGATAGGAAATTATAAAGCACAATGATGGAGGAACTGAGAGGTACCTTTTATCTCCTTTGCCTCAGTCTGTATAAATGAGACAGGAGTCAAAAGAAGCAGTGGCTAAGTGAGGCTATGTGTGATAGTGGGAATGTGCAGGGATTCTGATTTCTAAGTAGGCATGAAGAATCTCTGGGATGATTGTGCATGTATGCAGAGCATAATAAACTGAAGTACAGATTTGGTTTGCTGATATTCCTTAGCATGTATTTTTCACTTTTCATAGAAGAGTGTTAATCTCTTTTTCCATTTCTTTGCTTCTCTTTGTTATTACGAATTTCTCAAATTGGGTTATGAGAAGTCTTAACACTGGAGAGTGCATGTGCTTCTGTAATAATTCTGGGAGGGCTGACCGTGTACTGATGAGGTGACGTTGCCTTCAGCTTAGCTGTCACATGCAGCATGTTGTCACACACAGCATGCTGCCATGTCTGGAGTTTTAATCACTGTTGGCTGCATGCAGTGGAGGCTGCTTGTCTGTCCCGCTCCTGCAACATGGTGCAGGCTCTGCAGGGGAGTGCACAAGTGAAACTGGGTCATCTGCTCAGCTCAGCTAGATATGACTACATACTGTGAAATGCCAGGCCATGAAAAACAGTTCTACACATAGGGAAACCACAAGAAATGTATGTGTTACAGGTTTTTCTTACTTGAAGAATCAAACCAGATCCTAGGACCTGTATGATACCAGGTGTTAAAACAGTTATCCAAGCTCTGCTTGTCAGTCCCTTTATCTCACATCACGGACTCTGCTTCAATGACTGAAATATAATAGCTTCTAAGTTACTAGTAAAAAATAATACATGTATGTCTCTGTAATTTTTTCTTCAGTAGATGATGATGAATTCTATAGGTATGAAAGAAGTATAAGATGATATAATTGTTAATCTATCCTGTAGACACTTGTTTAAAATTGTTTAGGATTTAATCTTTTTCTAATGTGTCTTAATTAGCATATCATACTCTTTGAGTGGTATACTTACATAAAAAACAAGTTTAACTGGAAGATATTAGTAATACATTTATAGGTATTATCCTAATTGAATAGCCGTCAAATTTTCAGATAAAGCAGTAAAAAAAACATTATTTGGTAATAATCTCAGTTTTCTAATTCAAAATCATCTTGAGTTTAACAATATTAACAATATTATTTGTGTTCTTGATTTTTATATGTATTGGTATACAAATAAAAAGCACACTATTACCTTTAATGATATCTCTACTTTTAGTAGTTAAATTTTCTACTTTTTAAATAAATTTTCCTTTTTTTTTTTTGGTATTGAGGATTAAACTCATGACCTTGCTTGCACTGTTCAGGCAAGTGCTTCCACCACTGAGCTAAATCTCCAGCCCAAATTTTCCTTATCATTAAAACTTTTGTTTTAACACAAAATCCAGGATCATTTGGATGTAATTCTTTTAAGATGTGCGTGCATGTATGTGTCCTTAATATAGCAGGTAACTGGTCCTCATAATAATCATTCCATCATATGATGAGTTACTGGTTCTCTGGGATCTGTTTGGGGAATGCCTTTTATTTTAGTAAAAATAATCTCACTTTTAAAGCGAATAAAAGTTGTGTAATCTCATTTTGTGAAACAAATTCATAAAAACTTTTCTTTGTAATTTTTTCATTTGCTTGGTTTCTGCCAGATTTCCTGCTGATTTTAGTATGTTGCTTATAGTTACATTTTAGATTTAGATTATAAAACAGCTTGTTATAATTATGTCTTATTTCTATTCTGATTCTGACAGCACCCAATTTTGAGTGAGGCCTATAAACCTTACATTTAAAATTTCAGAGCTTAAATGCATGACTTTTAAGATATTTATCTGTTTATTTTGGAACTTTTATTGCTTAGTATTTAGTTATATACTGTATATATAATTACTATAGTTACACAGTTATATAATAAATTGTTATGCCATTTTAAAAACCATTAATATTTTTATAATTTCTCATTTTTTAAAGAGTGTGTAAAGATGGAAGGAAGCCCCATACAGTAAGGTTAGCAATCCGTCGATTTTCATCCAAATACTATAGTCGTGAGAGTCGGCAGTGCCCTATTCCAGCCCATATAATTCAGAAGCTGGGAACAGGTATGGACTAGTTTTCTAAGGGTTTAATTGTATTTGTAAAGAGCAAACTTTGAATTAGAAATATACTCCAAAAAAGAATATGTGTGTGGAGTAAGCAAGCAGTTAAATATTTTTATACTTTCTGTTTTGGATGTATTTTTTTCAATCAGGTTTTATTGGTACATTTTAGATATACATAATGATCACATTCATTATGGAAAATTTGTACCTCTGCATGGTACAACTTGGTTTTTTTCCCCATCTAAATGTTCCTTCTACTTCTGTCTCCTGATTGGTAGGATTGCAAGCATATGTCACCATGCTTAGTGGATTTTAATTTCTTTTTCTCTTTTTGTACTGGGAATCCAATCCAGAGGCACCTGACCCTGAGCTACAACCTTAACTCTTACTACTTTTTATTTGGAGACCAGGTCTTACTAAGTTGTACAGTGTGGCCTTGATCTTATGATCCTCTTGCTTTGGCCTACTGAGTAGTAATTTCTTAATCTAAGCAATAAAAATTTATCCTCTTAATGTTAATTATGATGCAGTGTGTTTAGATATTGTCTTTTAAACATTTTATTTAGGAAATAGTGATGTGATGACCCCATTGATTAATATACTAATGAAACTTTTTCGAAATATGGTAAATGTGAAGATGCCATTTCATCTTACCCTTCTAAGTGTGTGCTTCTGCAACCTTAAAGCACTAAATACTGCTAAGAAAGGATGTATGGATTACTATTTAACACCATCATTAACAACTTCACACTCTGGCAAGCACAGTTTTGTAAGTACACTGGATTTATGTGATTAAATGATGTATTGATTCTTTGGGGTGCTTTGTTTGGTTGGTTTACTTGTTTTCTAGTATTTATCACATTTACTGGCCTTAATATATACCATATTTCCAAAAAATAACAGTAGATCTTATATTAATTTCTGCTTCAAAAATGATAGGGTGTATTTTCAGGGGATGTCTTATTTTTTCATGTACAATGATCTACATTTATTTATGGACAACAATCTACATTTATTCAAATATAGTCATGTCATCTTCTTCTGAAATGTTGTCATAACTGTCCAAACCCTGAATTCTGGCCTGAATTTCTTGAGACTCCATTTCCTGTAGAATCATTGACCCCAATCTCTTATGTCCAGCAACAAAGCTCTCCTTAAATGAACAGTTCTTATCTGTGTAGCCTGCTTGTAGTGTATTTGTTAGCTCTTAGTGATTTTATCCCATGAATTCTTCACCCAAATCACCACCTCTTGAAGACTAGGCTTCCCAAAGTTTCCCTTAAATCAAGTGTTAACCATAGATGTGTGAGACAAGAGTGGCAACAAAAATGGTGACGGGAAGGAATGAAAGTTCAAGCCAGGCACAGTAGTGCATGCCAATAATCCCAGGACACAGTAGGCTGAGGCAAAAAGATTGCCATGAGTTTGAGGCCAGCCTGGACTATAAAATGAGTTTGAGGCCAGCCTAAACTACTAGTCAGACTCTGTCACAAAAAGCAAAACAAATAAAAAAGGTTGGTTCATACAAAAATGACGAAAAATTGCAGGCACCAAAATTCAGAAAATGTTTATTTCACGAGTGCATTAGCATATTTGTTATAACAAATGACAGATTAAATTATGAAGATTCATATTAGACAAAACATATCCATTTGTTACTGGAACGTACATTATTTGTGCTTTGTGGTACTCTGATCATTCAGCAATTAAGTCTTATGTTCATCTGTTTACATAGGTGTTTACCTGTTGTCCAAAGGCACCTAGTTGGATATTTACAAATACTTAATTATAACATATTATCATATAGGTATTATTGTGAGTAATATTTGTATTTCATTATATGTTAATATTATAATTCAATATATCCCTCACGTGTTGTAATGGATATACTAAGTGCCTACATCTGGTTGATTTGGCTTATTTTTGGAGTAAGGTTTAAGCATCTTGAAAAATCATGTTAGGACTTATTTTCCAGTTAGATCTTATTTTGGGGGAAATAATGATCTAAGAAAAAGATGTAAGGATTACCAGATCAGAGAAAACCATTATAAAGCTTCCCTATTGTGGAAGTGTAACACATTATCTTAACTACTTGTAGAAAGATGGTAGGTTATCTCATATATGACAATATATCCAGAAATTGGGAATAAAATTTTTTTGTCTGACAGTTTGGATATAAGCTACTAGTACCCTTCCTACAATTTTTTATTAAAGTATTTAAAATTTTGAAATTATGTTGAATTTTCATAGCAGTATTGATAGAATTTACTGATTTTACAGTTGTAACAATGTGGCAATAGAGAGGCAGAAGCCAGTTGCATTGTCAAATGACTAAAACACCTTTTTAGATGAACCTGTAGTTTAGTAGATGTGAGGTACTATACAAGTTTCTTTTACCTCTTATGGTAGCACATACCTGTAATCGAAGGTACTTAGCTGAAGCTGGATGACTATAGTGTGCAGCTTCAAGGCTGACCTGAGTAATCTGGTGAGACTTTAGCTCAGAAAAAAAGAAGAGCTGGGGATATGGCTGAACAACCCTCTGGGTTCCCTAGTACTGCAGAAAATAAATAGATAAATAACATTTTTATGTAAGTTGTTAATGCTTGTAATTAACTCATAATTTAAATATTTTAAGTTAGTATAATTTTAGTAGTATTTCATCTCTACTTAAATTTATAATGAAAATGAGTAGTGTTATGAAAACAGCAAGTTAATACTCTCCAGATTAATTTTAATCTGTGACTTTTAAAATTCCATGTATTAATTAAAAGTTAAAGTATTTTATTTTTACACTTAAATTCCTATAAAGAGAATTAAAGCTGGGCATGGTGGCACATGCCTATAATCCCAGCACTTTGGAGGCTGAGGCAGGAGGATCACCATGATTTCAAAGCTAGCCTGGGGTACATAAGTTAGTTCAAGGCCAGCCTGCACTACGTAACAAGACCCTGTCTCAAAAAAAATAATTAATGATTATAATTAACATTGGCATTAGATGTAAATAAAAGTAAAAGTACAGTGACATTAAATAGAAGTGAAAGTACCTTCTATATCTGAAACAGTATAAAGGTTAGAATCTTTTGTATTCCTTTTATAGTCTTGGAGTTACAATTGTAGTAATGTTTACTGAGCTATATTTGCCTGTGTATACATTTGGATGATATTATGTCCATCAGCAGATGAATGGCTAAAGAAATGTGGTATTTGTACATAATGGAGTACTACTGTACTGTAAAGAAAGATAAATTTGAGTCTTTGCAGGAAAATGGATGAACCTTGAGACCAGAATGTTAAGAAAATCAAATCAGATCCACAGCTTAAATACCACATGGTTTCTCATATGAGAAACCCAGAATATAAAATAGGCAAGGTAAACAATAATAGGAAGTAGGGAGATAGATTTTGTTCAGATGGGAAGGGGATAAAGAGATGGAAGAGGGTCTACCGGGCCTGGTGACATGGGCCTGTCATCGCAGCCCTCAGGAGGCTGAGCCAGGTGGATATCCATGAGTTTAAGGCCTGCCGGTATTACATACCGAGACCCTGTCTCAAAAAAGCAAAGAAAACAAAATGAAACAAAAAAAGAGAGAGAGAGCGAGGAGGGAAGAGAAGAAAAGGGATGGGTGAAAAAAAGAATTGAGATGTGTTATGTACATGTACCAGTTCCCCATAAGGAATGTAATCTTTTGTAATGTAAACATATACTAATAAAAAATAAAACCAGAAAAAAAATGGAAAGGAAATTTAAGCAAAAACTAAAGAAAAATTATATAAGTTAGAATTTAAAGTGTTTTTATTTTATGTAAACATAAAAAATGTTGCATGTTAAGAAAACATTAGGGCTGGGGATATAGCTCAGTGGCACAGTGCCTACTGGCAAGCATGAGGCCGAGTTTGATTCCTGGTAAAAAAAAAAAAAAAAGAATTGGAGTTTTACTATAGAAATATTCTTTTACTTTCCAGTCAGCATAGTTTCAGGACAGTAATTTTTGAAAAATCAGGCTTTCATGCTCTATGCATATATTTATAAAGAAAAATGTTTAGGTGACTCTAGGACACTTATTTACAGAAATGAATGTTTAAATACATTATTATTGAGCTCCTTTCCAGGCCTCTAAGTGCATACTTAGCTTTTTCCTGGCATAATAAGTAAATATCTACATCATAGTGTAACTGATGGGTCATCTCTAATTGTTTGGAACTGGCCACAAAGGATTGAAGGTGCTGAGTCGTTTTGAAATATTTGTCAGATAATAGCTACAGCCTCATTTCAGCAGCAGTTTAAAAACATCAGATACCTGAATTTTTCTGTTCTCTTTGTATTCTAGAAAATGAAGGATACTTACATGGAAGACTTTTCCAAAGACAAAGAAGCAAACTGTGATTTTCTAACAACTGGAAGAATTGAAAGAACAGAAGTATCTTCCCTAGATAGTACAAATTTTTCTAAAGACAAAGACATCAGTGAATTCCTACACTATTCATTTCCTGAGAAAATTGACCAAGAAGTCTTTAGGCAGCTTCCAGCAGATATTCAAGAAGAAATCCTTTCTGGAAACTCTAAAGAAAAAGTTCAAGTGAATGAAAAGTTGAGTTGTTCACGACAGGCTTCCAGAGGACTGTTATCTTTCTTCTCTACAAAACAAATGCAGGATAGTCCCTTAAATTCTAGAGGTAACTTGTCCAGTTGCAAACAGGTATCCTCTGTATCTCCCTGTGAAGCAGGAACATCAGGCTTAAATAGCCCACAAGGTTACTCAAATTATATAGTCAACGGATTAAGCATGAGTCGGGAACCTAAAGAATCTCATGGATTCCATTTTCCCAATACAAACCCTGTTCTCCATTCATCTCCTAATTTGCAGAATGAGCAACTTTTCTCCAAAAACCACACTACAGATAGCCACAAACAAACAAAACCAACAGCCTCTCAGCAAGGACTCAAAGAAAGTAGAGATTTTGCTGAAGAGAAAATTAGTTTTCCACCTGACATTGATCCTCAAGTTTTCTATGAACTACCAGAAGAGGTACAAAAAGAACTGGTGGATGAGTGGAAGAGAACTGGATGAGATTGCCATACTGTACATAATGAGCGTGTTCAGAAAAAGGTCTAAAAGCTGGAAAGTATCAGTGGTCTCAGATTAGCAGCTTCTTAAGCTCTTCTGAATTAAATACTAATGTTCAGTAATAAAGAAATCCAATGTAAAATGTTCCAGATAAATCAAGAATGGATATAAGAAGTAAATTTCAGCACAAAGCATAAATACATAACAGAAGCAATAATGTATATGTATTGTCACAAGTTTTTGTTTGTTTGTTTTTCCTTCCTCCCTGGGACTGTCTTGCTATGTAGTCCAGGCTAGCTTTGAACTCAAGATCCTGTTATCTCAGCCTCCTGAATGCTAGGATTACAGGTATGTACCACCATGCTTAGTTTATAGCTATTTTTATTGCTTTTCAATAAAAGGAATATTTTTGTCAACACTCGTACATTTTCCATAAATTGGGGAAAAGATACACGTGCCTACAAATAAAATACAGGATCACCAAATCTGTTATAATAGAGAATAAGGTTCTTTTTCTAAGAAATACTGGACTGTCTCACATTCAGGCTATTATGAAATAGCCATTTAGGAAATTGTATTCTTTGTTTTTTTTTTTTTGTCTTTTTTGTTTTTATCGGTACCAGGGATTGAACTCATGACTGCCTGCTTGCAAGGCAGGCGCTTATGCCACTGAGCTAAATCCCCAGCCCCGGAAATTGTATTCTTGGTAAGCCTGTTAAAAATATAAATTTCTTTGGCTAAATACCACATATCCTTCAGTAAGTTGACTTAAAATAGCAAAGCAATTTATAGTCAGTCCAGCATTTAATGTGCAACTCACAACATATTGAATGAGTGAACTGGGAATTTGAATGTAGGAGAAAGGAGTGTGTTGTAGAAGACAGTAGTAGAAGGAATTTTTTTTTTTTAATCGGTACCAGGGATTGAACTCACGACTGCCAGCTAAATCCCCAGCCCCTAGAAGGAACTCTACATGCAAGTATATAATAGGGAAGGGACATCTGAAGTGCAAGCCGATATAAGGGGCTATAAGAATACTAGTAGTGGAAGTACTCCCTTGTCTTTTAGCCAGTTTGTAAGGTCTAAAAGCAGTAGATTAATATGTGTGTGTGTGTGTGTGGACGTGCGTGTGCACTTGCACATGTCTGTGAGCTTAAGGATGTGGCTTAGCACTGTGTTCAAGCCTCAGAACTTGGGTGGGGAATCAGATGTTCTTTAACATCTCTGAATACTGCATTTAGACATGAGATCAAAGGTGGCGTATAAACTAAATTGGTGGGTGTTGTCCTATAGCTGCCTGTCCTTTTATCAGCCATATTAAAAGCTGAATATAAGATTGAGGACACTATGACATAGCGGTTTGTAGAGCATAGCAGAGTATTCCTCAGCAAGTTTGTAATTTTTACAGATACAACATTTAAAATACAGTACACAAATGTGGATAAGGATTAAGTTAAAAACACTTTTCATCTAGGCCACTAAGTTTTAGATCCCTTATATTTTGAAAATTCCTTAACTACTAAGATATTTTAAAAATTTGGGATTAACCGAAGGAATTAACTTGGGCCACTTAAATACTTAGTGCTGTAGATGAAGGACTATATATTTTTCTGTATACATTATTCTGGGAACGTAGTGAAACTGATAAAAGGAATATTTTAACACTTTGTAAAATAATCCATTTTAAAAATTCTTGGAGCCAGGGATATAGTTCAGCAGCACAGCACCTGCTTGGCATGTGTAAGGTCCTCAGTCTGATGGCTGCTAAAAAAAGAAAAAAAAAAAACACAACAACTTTGTGATGATTTCAGGAACTTGGTTAGCCAAAATGATTTTCAGGGAAAATAAGTAAAAAGGAAATGGTTTGGACCAGTTTAAAAAAGGAAATAAAATAGAAGAGCAGTTTCTCAAGAATGCCGGAGGTTGCTTCACAGATTTGCTTATTTATAGCTCTAGATAAGGGCTTGCCTGATAATCAAACCTTTGGGTTTAAATTCTATTTCTGTCTGCCTTTAAAGTTATCTTTTTTTCATTGTGCTCTGCTGATTTACTCTACTATTTGGAAATGTGAATTTCTTTTTATTTGTTACATGCTAGCTTCCTGTGTGTTTCAGTTTATGTTCAATCTAATTTTCTGCCACTAGCCCTTAAACTGCTTTTCCTATATTTTGGGACTCTAATTGCACAAATGGTAGATTTTCTTGCTCTAGCATTCATGTTGTCTAATTTTTTTATATTTTTCATCTTTGTTTCTTTTTGAATAATTTTACCTGTTATCTTCCTGTTCACCAGTTGTTTTTTTAGCCACAATTAACTTGTTTAACACACATACAATGGTTTTTATACTATTTCCCATTTGATTCTAAGTTAATCTTCAATTCAGTCATTATAATCTCATGTAAATCCATTTCTAATTAAAAAAGAAAAAAACTTGCAGGCATGCCAGTAATCCCAGCACTTGGGAGGCTGAGGCAGGACTATCACAGTGAGTTCAAGGCCAGCCACCTGACCTACATAGTCAGCTCAAGGCAAACCTGCACTGCAAAGTGAGGCCCTATTTCAGAAAACCAAATCTCATTTTGTATTCCACTTTTGATAACATCAATGTTTTACATATTTATAAGCTTAAATTTATGGTTATTATGTACCATGTGTAGCTCATTTCCTTGAGTACGTAGCTTAATTTAATCTGCAGGACAAGGGACCTACATTATGGATGCTTTCCTTCAGATAATAATTTGTATTCACTTCTCTTTGAGTTGGTACAAAGACTTGGCATTGTGATGGCCCGCTCTGGGCATGCTGACTGAATGTCGTTTCTTAATTTCAGCTTTCAGTCCTAGCTTCTTGTACTTTTGGTTATAGACGTCAAGTACAGGTTACTGTCAGTGTTTACCTTCAGAGCAGACCTCACCTTTCAGGCTTACTTCTTGGCTGGTGCCTCCTGCTCTTTTCCTGCTTTTGTTTCAGGTCTTTGTTTTTTTCCTGTGTTGACTGTACGGGGATTAGGACAAATCAGCAGCAGGATGTGATTATTATCTTTGAAAGCTGTAAAAAGTTTGCCATCACTGAACTAGTGCTTTGTAGTAGAACTCTGTAAAGAGTGCTTATAGTACCAAAGTACCAATCTATTTGCATTTATTTTTGCAGTCTTTTTTTTTCTTCTTCTTGCAATATTAATGTTCTCCTACACACACATATTTTTATCATCTCTTCTTTATGGACTGGTCTAGTCTTGCCATTTATGTTTGAAGTGTGAACATTCTATTGTAATTACTTTTGATTACTTGTAAAAATTTAACATGCTCAAACATGGTTTGATTTTCCAATACAATAAATATCTGCCTTCCTTCCAAACAACAATCATATTCTACTTCTTTAATCTTTAAATTGAAGAGACTGCAGCCCTTCCAGGGGGAGAACCAGCAGTGTCTCCTGAGATCCACGCCATGTTGGAACTGAGGACGCTGTGAAAACAAATGCTTAGGAATAGTGAACCTACTGCTACATGGCCTAGAGTCAAATATCCCACTTCCCCTATCCCCCCCACCCCCCCGGCCCATTAGCAAATAGGAACCAGAAATCTGAGCATCTCCTGGGAGGTTGGCCATAGGAAATAAGGAGGACTTCCTTCTACCATTTCTTTGAAGGCAAATATTTTTATTACTGTTTTGCTCTTTTCTGATTAATGGTACTGCTCTATTCAATTTTCTGTTTTGATAAGTTCTATAGTGTTCTATATTTCATCCCATTTTGATATACGTGATTGAAAGAACAACTATTATTAAAGATAACAAAATATACTGTGATACCTATAACTGTTATCCCGGTAACCTGCTGTGAAGTTCTGTACCAATTTCACTGTATGATCTTAGTTGGCTTTATTCTGACTTGTACTGTTGTATACTTTCAAAATTTAAAAAAAAAAGGCAAAAAATTGAAATATTATTAATATGTCCCAAATGCTTATCTTGGGAGAGAGGAGTGTATTTTTTTGTGTGTGTTCTTATTCCCTTGAATCTGAGAAACTATTTCTAAATTTAAAAATATTTCCTATATGCTTATCTTGAGAGAGAGGAGTGTATCTTTTTATCTTTTTTAATCCTTTTGATCTCAGAGTTTTTTCTGTTTAATTTGAGGCAGGGTCTCACTATGTAGTTCAGGCAGACCTTGAACTCACCATGTAGCCCAGGCTGGCCTTGAGTTATGGAGACCCCCCCTGCTTCAGTACCCCCAGTGTTGTGATTACAGAGGTGTACCATCATACCTCACATGCAATTGCTTAATTTTTAAAAAGTAGTTGGCCTGGGGTATAGCTCAGCAATGCAGGATCTGTCTGGCAAGTGTGAGGTCCTGAGTTTGACTGCTGGTACCAAAAAAGGGGGGGAAAAGCCCCTTAAAAAGTGGTTATATTTGTTTAATAGAATTTTTTTCTGAAATTGCAAAATTGGACTGTAATAAAATTCAGCATCAAGTTGCTCTATCTCAACCAAACGTACAAGGCTGTATAACAAATGAGAGAAATTAGAGATGTTAGTAGTACAATATTTCATTGTTAGTCTTAGCTACACTATATAATTTTCTAGCACAGTATCTTCATTGATGCAACAGTAACAGAAAAAATCACTTAGGGGCACACATTCCTGGTTTATGTGTATATTTACTAATATGTTCAGTGCTAGTTGGTGTTCAGCCAAATACAGTTATTTGGTTTTAGGTAGCAAAATAATTATTTCAGCATCATTTGTGGCATCCCATGATATGCATGAAATGTGATTCAGTTCTCATCATATCTAACTAGTATTCATGATTTCAGTCTTAAAAATAAGGCATCACATTTAGGTTTTTTAACATCTGAAGATTTATCTCAAATTAGATAAACATTCTAGATGTTACTTAAAATCTCATGAGCTTTCTGTTGTGATTCCATCAAAACAAATATTATTTTAAGGAAAAACAGTAACCAATGATTATGAAATCTATTTTATGTATAAACACAGTTCTCAAGTTGCTGAGCAGGGAAAGATTGAGTTAATATTGAGAGTGCATTAGATCGTTTTATAATGAAGCATGTTCTTTATGAGCCACCAAAAATAAATTTGTGCTGTTATTTCAGAAATAGGTAACTGCTGCAGCACAACAAAAACAAAATATATGGTATTTAGGATTTGTGGTAACAATAGGTTGAGAAAACTGCTAGTAAATGTTTCAGTAATGATAAAGAGACTTCATAAGGTTTTATAAAAGAAAATGTATCTAATGCTTGGTTTTGGACTAGGTATTCCAGGCAAAATGTAGAAGGCGCCACCTGGTGGTACTTAACTGCATAAGAATCAGTTGAGGTGTTTTTGTTTTTTAAAGCCCATTAGTTTGCAAGCACATGTGAAATGTAATACAGAGAAATGAGCAAAGCAAACTTTTTTCCCTCTGGCTTCTCTAACATAAATTTCAAAGATATTACCAAAGGTCAAACATCAAATCAAAGGAGATTCTGTCAGATGCTTCGTTAAGCCTCCTTAGGTGGTGCTGAGTAATCTCAGATTGACAAAGTTTAAGGGTAGGTTCTGATGGAATTCTGATCTCAAAAGATCACTAAAAGTCTTTAGAGAAGTCATAATACTTGTGTGGCTTTTGTGTATGAATGGATCATAATCAGAAACAGAAAGCTCAAAAGTTTTAAAGTGTACAGCTTTGTAAAAACACCAAGTACTAGAACTAAAAGTTCAATTTATAAAAATGTCTGTGGGGTTTGTTGGTGCACATTTGTAATCTCAGCTCTCAGGAGGCTGAGGCAGTAGGATCCCAGCGAGTTCAAGACCAGCATGGGCTACATAGTTCAAGGCCAGCCCGAACTACATGGGAAGCCCTATCTCCAAAATATAAAAATTCTGTGGGTCCCTCCCTTTCTTTTGGTAGGATGTAGCCTCAGGAAGTAAATTAGAAGCTATCTGGTCATTTCTTCAGAAATAATAAAAGATGGTGAGGGAAAAAGGACATACCAGACTGTGTAGCCAAAAGCTGTGGAGAACAGTGTATTGCAGTTATTCCCAAAGAACAGAATTGGCGTAACTGAGTATTTTCCAATTGCCAGAATGGTAGGCTTGGTGGAGTGTCAGAAAATGTTAAGTACCAATGACTGTGGTTCCCATTCTTTCCCATTTCTGATGTATTTACTGTGGTTATCCTGTTCTTTGTCACATGTACTGGATACGTGCATGTTGGGGGGGGACAGCTTAATAAGTCTGTCTCAAGTGGAACTGCATGTGTGCCTGCCACATACTATGAAATCCTAAACTTGAAGACTGATACTGTGGTTTTATGAGACCATTCAAGGTCTTGGAATAGAATACTGTGTATCTTTCATATTGAATGAAGGTAAGTATACGTATAGGGTGAAATATGGTAGCTCAGATAGATTAATGATCTCAGGTCACTTTGTACCCAGATAACCTTTTATCATATTTACAGTTTTACTAAAAAAGTAAATTCTGTTTTTGCTTATGAATTTGCTCCTGTGACTTTGCCAATGGAATATCAAACTTGAAAGGTATTTAAAAACGTTTGTGTTTCCTCTCCTGCTCCATTTCCTTCTTCATGAGAATATTGTCAACTTAGGCTTTTGAGGATGACAGTGTCAAAGCAGAGAGAGGTCATCCCAGGTGTGGTCCACAACATTTCTCTCAGATGTTCCACAGCTAATGGTCAGACACATGAGAGCCCAGCTTATGCTGCATAAAGCACTGACAAACACAAGATAAGTGAAGTCAATTGTGCCAGGCTTTTTATCTGGTACACATCATCACTGTGGCAATTGATTGCCATAGAGCTATAAATTATCTTCATTGCTTGAAAAAGATAAGTAAAGAAAGTGAAAACCAGTTACCAGTTAGTTTTATTCTGACCAATTAAGTCCCAGAGCAACCTCTAAAAGGTAGGCTGAAATTCAAATTAGAATTTATCAAAATGATTTATTGTAAACTGCCAGGTTTGGTAGTTGAAGAGCAAGCATTTTAGAGATTTGGCAAGTTATAAATCCTAAATCAAAAGTTCATTCTGAAAACTGTGGAGTTGAAAAAAACCGTTATGTTCAGATAAGCAAGTAATTTCATGTCACTTGAATCAGAAGAGAGTGAAAGAGAGAGTGTGTATGAATGTATGTATTTACGCAGTACTGCAGATGGAAGCCAGGGTTTGCGCATGCTAGACAAGCTGCTCAACCACCAGCCTACGCTTCCACTCCATGAACCTGAGTGTTTTTTTTAATATGGATGATGTACAACATAGCATCTGTAGGTATATATGGTCCAGTAACTGACAATTCTAACATTGTTTTTCCTGGAACATAAAAATCAAATTTTAAACTGCTATTAAATTTTTAAACACAATCAGTACCTTTGAGTAAAACCTCAACTTTGGTTGGGCCAAATACTGATTATATACTTAGCTATTTGGCCAAACTGTACATTTTAATATACTCGTGTTTTTATTCACTTCAAAGTTATAAGCTTGTACCACTGTCAATGGATCATGTGTCATGACAGGTGAAGTTCATTTTTATAATAGTGAATATAATTTCTAATTTCAAAGGAATATACAGTTGGCTTTCTATAGCTGCATGTTTTGCATCCCAGAGTTATCTAGCCTTGGCTTTAGAATTGTGAAAAACAGGTATTGGACATGTCAGACATTTTTCTTATCATTATCACTGAAATAATACAGTATAATGATGCTGTACATAATAGCATTTATACGGTATTATCATAAATAAATAACATGACAATGTAAATGGATGTCCATAGGTTATTTGCGAATATATGCTACACATTTTGATATGGAGGGCTGGTGTGCTGGAATGCTGATGATACCAAGGGACAAATGTATCAGATGTAATTGAAAAAAATGATATTTAGCTTTAAAAATAATACAGTACAATACACATAGCCATTAGTTCCCCTAAAAATCCTTTGCCTCACTTTGAACACTCATTCTATGATTCTTGCCACTTCCTGAAGTAGTTCTGAAGTCCTCTTTCATGTCTTTAGTTGTGTTGCTATGACTGTTTCAGTGTCCTGAATCAATTCAAACATTTACCTTTGCCATCATCTTAACTCTGAGGAAGAGCCAGAAGTTACATGACACCAGATCTGGTGAATAGTGAGTGAGGAGACTGCAGTGTTTTCATAAGGCTGTTTTCCATTGGATGGCATTTGGCAGTAACATGTACTTGATTCTTGATCACACGTCATAAAGACACATAGAAGGATTTCCAGAACTAAGTGGCAAGGAGTGTGGGAAAAGTGTGTTCGAATTGAAGGTGAATATATTGAGGAGGATTAATGGCTACATGTCTTTCACTGTAACAAATGTTTTTAACATTCACTGTATATTTTGATTATCCCTTGTATATTACAGTGTGTGATTCAACCATTAGTATGTTTATGGAGTTAGTGAATAAAGACTCACATTCTTCTAAGAGGATACTAAATTGGAAAACAGCAGAAGTGACTGTTGTAGTTTAGACCTAAAATGTCCCTCAAAAGTTTCATGTTTGGAGGTGAGGCCTGGCCAGAGGGGATGTTACTGAGTGCGTGACTTGGAAGGTGCATTCTTTTCCCCAGCTCTTTCCTCTGCTTCTTAGTTGCAACGGGGTGAGCAGCTGTCCTCTGGCATGCCATTTTTGCCTTGAAGCCAGCCTACTACAGATTGAATCCACTGAAACTGTGAGCCAAAATGAACCTGTTCTTTAAGGTTGTGGGTGTTGGTTATTTTTGTTCCAGTGCTAAGACATGCAGTTGATACCAGAGAAGTAGAGCTGTTGGTGTGATTGATGATAACTGACCATTTGATTTGGAAGCCTTTGGAACTGTTTGTTGGGGGACTTTGGAAAGCTCTGTAGATGTGGGTTAGAGAAGCTCTAGAATGATGTAAGCATATCTTGATGAACGAAGGTTAATAGTGGATAGTTAGTGAAGTTCAGGCTCATAAAGTTTCAGATGGAAATGAGTTCTGTTTTAGAAATCGAACTAGAAGCCATGCGTGTTTCATGCTATAAAATTATTTGTCTAAGTTTTGTTCTGTACTAAGACTGTGTGAGGCTCAATATAAAGCTGTTGGCTTATTAATCTGGTGGAGCACATTGAAAGGTAGTCTATAATGTTCAGGCTGTGGCATGGGTACTAATCACTGTTTTTAGCCAAGATTTACAGTGAGAATAAAAAGTAAAAGCAAATATAAAAAGTTTGCAGTCCCTCCAGAAAGAAAGCATCTACAAAGTTGGACAAAGGAGTGATTGCTAAAAGGATTAAATGTTCTAAAAATGATTAATACATTAGAAAGAAGCCAAGCTGGGCATACTTGCAGATGCCTATAATTTCAGCACTCTAGAGGATGAGGCAGGAAGATTACTGTGAGTTCAAGGTCAGTAGGCTACCTAGCAAGATTGTGTCTCAAAAAAAAAAAAAAAAAAAAAGAAAGATAGATAGATAGATACATAGATGAGTTGAAGGCATATAAGAAATTGACCTGACTCCTACCTCTGCAGGCACAAGGGTGGACCTGCAAACACCTTTGAAAGATTACTATGAAAACCCTAGGGTGTTGTAGTCATCGGGGGTCACATAAATAAGTGCTCCCCGAAGTTCATCCATCTGGCACTCCAAGGCCACTGCACCCAGGGTCTAAGGGGCCAAGTTACTGCCCCAGCTTGTGGTAGAACCTTATTGTCATCTATACAGTGCTTGTTTTATAGCCATGAAATTCAAGAGCTGTACGGTCATGGAGGCTTTCCCCCAGAATTCAAAAGAAAGCCTGGGAGAATGGGCAGTGTGCCCCTGAGAGCAGTGTATGAAGCTGTGACAGTGTAGTCAAAGATGCAGTTGATAGCCCCAGAATTTGCTATTTAGTTTTGCTTGGTTTTTTGAAACAGGTCTCATGTAATTCGGGCTGACTTTGAACTTACTATATAGCACAGGCTGGCCTTGAACTTGCGATGACGCTTCTGCTTCCGCCTCCACAGTGCTGGGATTACAGGTGTGCACCACCATGCCCAGCTTCCCCAGGAATTTAAATGATTCCAAGAACACTGACTATTTGCTGATGAAAACTGCAGGCAGTGAGTGGAGCCAACCTAAAAGAGAGGTCAGGTGGGCTGCAACTGGCAGTGCCATAATGAAGAGTTATGATGAAGGCAGGCAGTCAGACTGTGACTCAGGGAACACATTCCTTAAAGGGAATGGAATGTATTAAGTAAACAAATCTCTTCCTGCATCTGGGTTGGTCTGGGAGAATTTAGGAATGCTGAGCAACTGAACTTTTGAACTCTGCACTAGGAAGCCAAGTACTATTTGGGTACTAAGAAGCTACTTGTGGAGGAGGAGGAAACCTCTAGAGCTGTGGTGGAGAAGCTTTAGAACTTTCAGCTCACGGCAGCATGGTACCATAGGTTTGCCACCACTGCTCTAGACAAACTTCTCGCACTGTTCAGGACTCCATCTGGTCAGCAGGGGCCTTTCCTTGTCCTTTCCAAGTTTTCATATTTGCAACTTAACTCGCCCCATTGCAATGCTATTTTATTATTTGACTTCCTGTGACCCAGCCTTTTGATATATCATATTCACCTCAGACTGCCCTGTGTGTTGCACAATGAGCTGCAAGAGTTAAGGTTTGCTGATTTTTGGTCTTCTGTTAGTCTGATTAAGGATTTTACTATTCATCCAGTTTCAAATGGGAATGCTTATCATGAGTCATTGTATTTTTAGAAGTATTTTAACTTTTTTTTTGAAATTTACAAGGATTTACAACTCAAGCTGTCTTGAATCTCAGAGGAGACTTTGGAAACATTTTGTCATCTTTTAGAGATGGACTAAATACATTTTGCATTTTGAGATAGACATGAGCCTTCTGGGGACCAGGGGCAGAACGTTATGGTTTAGGTCTAAAATGTCGCCCAAAGTCTGGTTTAGAGCTGGGTCTGGTGGAAGGGGTAGGCTGCATTGGACATGACTTAGAAGGTGTTTTCTTGTCCCTAACTCCTCCCTTCTTGCACTCTGCTGCCTGACTGCCATGGGGTGAGCAACTGTTCTCTGCCATACCCTCTGCAGTCCCATGTCTGCCTGGGAGCCAGCTTATCGTAGACCAGACCCTTTGAAGACCACGAGCCAAAGCCAACCTCTTTAAGTGGTGGATGTCTACCCCAGTGCTAGGAAAATGATTTAATACAGTGGCATATTCAGCAAAGTAAATCATACCCTAAATCATAAATGTACCTATAATTCTGACCCTGAAAATGTATTAGAGAAGGAAAAATAATACCCAGTATCTACAGTTTTAACAAGATAGAAAACATTCAAACATTGGGGAACAGAAAGCAGAGATTACCTTTATTTCTCAAACCTCAGTGGTTGTACATATTTCTCAGCTTCCAGCATCTTCCTCGCTGTGTTCTTCTCCCTGCTTACTAATTTTCTTTACATTTTCTCTCTCTCTCTTAAAGGTGGCTAGAAGACAAACATTTTAACCTAGAAGGTGGTTATTACAGGTATCTGAAGTGACTTTGCATTGGAAATATCCCATTTTTCATTAGAATATTTATCATCCTACACTTCAATTTTGAACTTACATTTTTAATAAAACATCAGATCTCTTCAAACCACAATTTCTTTTTTTTTAAGAGAAAAAAATTTCAAACCTAATTTTTTTTTTTTTTTTTTTTTTTTTTTTTTTGGTACCAGGGGATCGAATCCATGACCTCGCACTTGCAGGCCGGCGCTTGTACCATTGAGCTAAACCTCCAGCCCCGAGAAAAAAATTTCAAAAGAAGATAAAAGAGTATCAATGGCTAATATATTACATTGTTATCTTTAAATTAGTTACTCAGAGAACAAGACATAGGCATTTAATTGTTCAAACAAAATTAGCACAAACCTGTCTTTTCAATTAACTAAGAAAAGTTAGTGTATGCATCTCAGATGCCCAATTTTGGATTGGATCTTTAAATTTGGGAGGTCTGATTTTTTTTGAGTCTTCATATGTTTCATCAAACCACAATTTCAAAAATACATGTGCTAGGTCTGTGGATATAGCTCAGTGGCACAGCACCTGCCTGGCAAGCACAAAGTCCTGAGTTCGATTCCCGTAAAAAAATATGTGCTAATTTAGATTTATGACTTCATATTTAAATTTTTTTTGTCTTTTTCATTTTTATCGGTACTGGTCATATTTAAATTTATAAAATTAGACTTTACTTTTGACAGTCATTTCAGTCCCTATAATGATATTAGAAAATCTTCCCTATAGGAAGAGTAAGACTTGGAAAGAATGTTCATAACATAAACCTATCAACTATCTATTGGTAATTAATAAGGAATGATAGGTAATTAAAGTCAAATTTTAAAATGTTATTATCTGTGAGATAGCATTCTAATTTTATGACTCATTGTTTTCTTGAATAGGTCTTTCTGTTTATTATTTATTATTTTGAGACACTATGTTGTCCAGCCTGATCTCAAATTTGTAGGCACAAATGACCTTACCATCTAGGCCTCCCAGGTACCTAGGACTACAAGTATGTGCCACCACAGCTGGCCTCTATTTTTTTTAAAAATCTTTTTATCAGTACCGGGGATTGAACTCACGATTGCCTGCTTGCAAGGCAGGTGCTTATGCTGCTGATCTAAATCCCCAGCCCTTGGCCTCTATTTTTTAAAAGTGATTTTGAGATCATTATAGATTTGCATGCAGTTATAAGAAATAATATGTAGTATCATATTTACCCAGTTTCCCCCAATGGTAACACTGTGGGTAACTATAGTGCAGTATCACAATTAGGAAACTGATACTGACATAATTTATTCAATTTATCACCTTTATTCAGACAGCACCAGTTTTATACTTATCTCTGTGCATAGTTCTATGTAATTTTATCACGTGTAGATTCATATGACCGTCACAGTCAAGACACCAAACAGCTTTATCATTCTGCGTTTTCCTTCTGCTACTCTTTGCAAGCCACGCCACTTTCCTTTTTGTCCCCTGCCTTCTTATGTGACTATAATTGAGTTCCTCATCTCTATCATTTTGTCATTTCAAGAGTGCTGTATAACTGGAGCATGCCTGAAATTCCAGCACTTGGGAGGTTGAGGCAGGATCACCTCACATTTAAAAACCAGCCTGGGTCATAGCAAGGCCTAGAATAACAAGACCTTGTCTTTAAAGTTGTATAAATGAAAGCATATATTATTCAGTCTTTGGAGATTGACTTTTGAAATTCAGTATGATTCCCTTGAGACAATCCAACTTATTGTGTGCGTCAACGGTTTGTTCTTGGCGGGTGTGGTGATGCATGCCTGTAATCCCAGCACTGCTGAGAGGCTGAGGAGAAAGTTTGCTACAAGTTCAAGGCCTTAATGGGCTACATAGTGAATTCAAGGCCAGCCTGGACTATGTAGTGAAACCTTGTCTCAAAAAAAAAAAAAAAAAGTTTGTTCTTTTGTTCAATACTATTTCTTGTAGGGATTACCACAACATATGCCCATTACAGGATTTGTAGGTTGTTCTCAGGTTTTGTCTCCTTTGAACACTCTTACACAGGTTTTTGTGTGAATATTTTTTTTTCTAGAATAAAGGGTGCATATGCTGAGAAATAGTAAACACATGCTTAGTTATGTGAGACACTTAAAACTTTTCCAGATTTGCAATACTATTTTTCATTTTTGTCTGCAATATATGAATGATCCAGTTTTTCTATCCTTTCTAATAATTTTTATTATTATATATTTTTAAAAATTTAGTCATTCTAGAGGCTGGGGATTTAGCTCAGCGGCATAAGCGCCTGCCTTGCAAGCAGGTAGTCATGAGTTCGATCCCTGGTACCGATAAAAATGAAAAAGACAAAAAAAAAAAATTTAGTCATTCTGAAAAAAAGTACTGACATCTCATTTTGATTTTTATTTCCATCTACTTAATGACCAATTATGTTGAATATTTTTTATGAGTTTACTTACTGTGTTTTCTGCTCAATGAAATGTGTTTAGGCCATTTTCTAATTGGATTGTTATTTACACTGTTGAGCTTTGAACATTCTTAATAAATGTTAGATACAAACTCTTTGTCAGAATGTCTTGCTGATGTTTTCTACCAGTCTATTGCTTGTCTTTTCATCATCTTCACAGGGTCCTTCATATAGCATAGATATTATATCTTGATGATCATCTTAGCAATCTTGCTTTTGATGCCATGTTTAAGAATTCTGCCTAGCTGTCAGTTATAAAGATTTTCTCCTAAAAGGTTTGCATTTGTATATGTTCCATTTTGAATTAGTTATTATTATGGAATAATATTAGGTATCCAAATGCTCCAGCACCACTTGCTGATACACTTTCTTCCATTGAATTGTCTTTGATTCTTTGTCAACATCACATATGATTAGTATACTTATGAGGGTAGTATATCTTTATCCATCCCAGTCTTCTGTCCTTTGTGAAGCACTCTAGACTCCTTTTTAGCAGGCAACCTCAGGATTCAGGTGTGGTGTAAGGGCCAAACAGTATTTATCACCACTCTGACTGAAACTCATTGTAGATGAATGAGATGGCAGTTCATCTTCCTTTCTGTTAATTCCTTCATGACAAAAGTAAACATTCATGTATATATTCAGGGTACCTCCCAGTGGGTATATAAACCCACTGACACCAGGGGAAGGAACAAGGAAGTGGAGTGCTGGCTAGTTCCTTGTCCCACCACCTTATTTTACCTTGTTGCTGCCAAGTGGGAATGGAGACTAAATGTCACTGGTCAGGTAGTCTAGTGGGATTGTTTTTTTCAGTGCTGAGGATGAAACCTAGGGGAAGTACTATACCACTGAGCCATACCTTCAACCTGCTAGTTGAATTCTTCTTAATTTTTATGTTCACATTTCTTGCAATCCTCAATTTAAGCAGTTAGTAAAGAAAAAACGTATTTACTACTGATCTCTAAATGCATTTGTGTTTGTATGAAATTATTTGCATACACAGCATTTCCCAGAGACAAAAAGCAACAACTAAAAATGTATTAATCATAGTTATTTAGGAAACAAAACTTTATAAATAAGGAGGAAAAGAGGAGCTGAAGGGAGGGAAGGGGATTGGGAAAAAAAGCAGCATCAAGAGCTATCATAAACAGGTGAAAATTCTCTATGATGAATATGATCCTTATGTATATTTAAATTGCACTAATAAAGTTAGTAAAATATCTGCATACAAAATAAATAAAAATGTTAAGGAAAAGAAAAAAAGTTATTTAATGTTATATGGTATTAAAATTATACTTGGTTTTGTTTTCTTGTTTTTATTTTTATAAAGTATCTTCACTAATTTGTAGAAGAATATTGTCTACAATAATTTAACAGTATGCATGTGTAGAAGTAAACTGCAGTTAAACATTATACTTACTAGCAGTTCATATTGTCTTTAATTTGTGATTTAGTAGCAGAATGATCTTATTTTTTGGGGGGGGATGATGAATGGCCACTATGATTTCCACATCCTGATGGAGCTTTATGTGTCCTTAATCCATCTTTTGCATTGAGGACAAACTTTATTAAGTTGGAAGGCATCGTTTTTTCAACTATTGATGTGGGCAGTTTCCCTCTCATGTCTGTCTGAACAAACATCACTAGTTTGGAATATGCTGGGTTTCTGTAAGCAAAGGAAAAATTTTAAAAAGACAAAGAACGTTTAGAGTAGTCTATTGAATTTATCATTTTATGAAGAGCAGAGTTCTTATCTTACCATTGATTCTTTTCATAGTGCTTATACTAAGAGTAAACAAGAAGAGAATGTGACTTGTCATATCTTCATAAATAAAAAATTTACATAAAATATTAATATGTTTTAAATCTTCAGTTTTAGGCACCTTTTCCTTTTTGTAATTTTATTGATTTTTTGAAATTATATGGATATGAACCCCACATGCACCTACACATACATTATTCATAATGTGTATATATAAAAATACACCCACAGATATGTATGGTTTTATAAAAGGAGATATATTTTCTACAGGTAGCTTTATTTTCCTCTTAATAGAATATCTTGTCCTTCCTTGTCTATACTTTCATTGCTTGTTTTTCATAGTTATCTACAGTACTTCATACTGTATTTAATGGTCCTTTAATTCACTGTCAGGTTCTGAGTAGTACTTTCTGAGTAATTTCTGAGTAGTAAGATGTTGCAATAAAACATCGTTGTAATAAAACTGTTCATGCTTTTATAAACACATAGAATATTTAGGTCAAAGCTTTGTACTTTTAACATTTTGATATATTATTTCCAAGTAGTCCTCTGAGAAGACTAATGGTTTCTATTCTAACACAGTGATCTTCAAACTGGGTTATGAGAGATCGAATACTTTTAGGGAATAAAATTTTAAATTCATAACCTCTATATGCATTTTTCCTTAACCTGATCTGTGTTTCTGATGGAGATGTAGGGTTTTCATTCTGATCAGCCTGTTCAAAATAACTCACTTGCTTCACAAAACAAAGACATATTCACCACTTACACTAAAAAGTAAATGACTAACAACTATGGTGCTTTTCCATAGCAAATGGTATAAAAATGCTTTACTCTACTGGAAATGAGTTGTGAAAGCAAATGACTAATAACTGGGAGGTAAATATTATTCAAAATCTTGTCAGTTCTTTCAATAAATTTAAGGATTTGATGGCTTCAAATGCCAGTTATATTCTTCCCATTTTAATTATTTTTGTGAATAAAATGTCTCAGAAAACATATTTAAAAATTTAAATTCACATTGTTTAGCAGAAAATTATGATAGGATGATTAAAATTTAATTCAAAACCTGAAGTGTATCCCATTAGGATACAGTTATGTGAGGAGGAAAAATTAAAATGTGTGTTCAAAAAACAGGAATGATGGGAAATTGCTGATAAAATCTTTGTGTATTCTGCAGTGGACAATGTAATGGTGGATTCCAAATTATGGTACTTACATTTTACTAATACATTTATAAGGGTGATGTCATTTTTAAAAATGCTAATATTTACACTATACAAGAAATTATACTCCTTCAGCTTAGTCCTATGGAAATTTTTAAGGGTGATAAGAACATGCAAGAGGAAACAGTTTTAAAAATTCTTTTGGGGGTATGAAGATACTACACTAACCAATAGTGTTAGATTCCATTTTCTCATACGTTTCTCCATGCAAAGTGTAAACTATTTTTACTGTGCCTCAAAGGGTTGGATTGAGAATACTTTACCAGTATTTTATGTGGTCGTAAATCTCTATTTGCACTGAGGATTTACAACACATAAAAAAGCTTTCCCAGTATTTACTAGAGAGTGATGTACTACTGATTCAGGTGTCTTACATGTCTTGTTCATAAATGTTAGCTGTCCAAAATGTTGAAAAAATAAGGATGATTTTTTTTTGTATTCTTCTCTATAACTGAAGAAACATATTTTTATTCCAGCAGGACATGAGGCAGATTTTGGATTCTAGATGGGATATCAAGATCAGAGATTTTGTCTCATTGTTTTGTACTGCAAATTAGTGATTAAAAAAAAGCTCAAGAAAGACACTTGTCCTATGAAGCATACTTGGAGTCTATAATTTCCAACTAGAGTCTCTAAAACTGATTTACTTCCCTGATTTGGAGCAATAATCCTTCATTTGTTTTGTTCTTGTCTGCTATGGAGAATAAAATCTTGGCCATGCATTTGAAATTAGCATCTTAAGAAAATAAATGTATGCAGAGTTTATATATTACCAATAAAAGTTTTTACATTTATTTTCTTAACATATCATTAGCATAAATTAATGCTAAGCTATGTGTGAAATGTACATTGATTTACAACATGTGTTTTTACAGAATCTGTGTGCATTATATTGCCATTTTGTCCGGATGCTGGCCACCTGTAGGCTGTAACTCACTTTTTTTGGTACCAGGAATCAAACTGAGGACCTTGTACTTGCCAGGCAGGTGCTTGTGCCACTGAGCTACATCCCTGGCCCAGTAACTCACTTCTGGTTTCTTCAGCTTTTCTCTAATCTGAATGTATGTTTCAGATGTTGTATTCTGCAGCTATCTGTCTCAGCATGTAATCTATTGGAAATGGTTCATTCAAGTGAAGAATTTACTGCTGATAAATATGAACTGTTCTAATGAAATTTTTAATTCACAAAAAATTCTTAATATATAAAAGTGACTAATAGAGAAATAGGAAATATTAGGACAAGTTGAACTGTACAGAATGTTTGTGTATTCTTGACTATTCCCAGAAACCTCAAATAGTACTGTATAGAAAATATATATTCTAATTATACTTAAGATGAAAACACATAGAAAAAGTTATTTTAAAATTGATGTAGGGGTAGCTTTTTACCGACAATATATGCTAGTGTATGTTTCTACTAATGAGCAAGTTCATCTTAAAAAACTGAAATAAATGCAAATAACACTTACTCTTTCAGAGGTGAACATACAAAACCACAAGGATAGTTATAACCACGGATATACTCAGAAGTTGGAGGATATCCTGGGAAATCCACGCTTTTAGCTAAATGATTTAAAAAATGAAAATGAAGATGAAAAATACTTCCAGGAATGCATTTTTAAAAATATGTAACATTTAATTAGTTATTAGCATCAACATTAGTTATACATTTCTGTATATATTTACACTAATAAAGATGCTGTTATTCTTTTGTATGATAAGAGAAATTATTCAAAGTAATTATTTCCTGAGATTTGAGCAAAAGAAATTACAGAAAAAGATTTGGTTGTACTGTTATGGTACATAGATTTTCTCATTACTTTGTTATTAGTATTTTTCATTAAAATATTTTAAGTAGTTGAATGGTTTAAAATTCCCGCTTCTGGGGCTGGGGATATAGCTCAGCAGCAAAACGCCTACCTGGCAAGTGCAAGGTCATGAGTTTGGTCCCCGGTACCAAAATAATTAAATAAATTTCCCTCTTCTGCTAACTTCTTGTAAATAACTTCAAAATATAATTAAAAATCCATAGAATTTGTTTTAATAAATGTGTGGAATAATATCTAAATTATATGCAAATGGAGAGGGAGGTGATTTGATTTTGATTTTTTTTTTTTTTTGTCTTTTTCATTTTTATCGGTACGGGGGATCGAACTCACGACCGCCTGCTTGCAAGGCAGGTGCTTATGCCACTGAGCTAAACCCCCAGCCCCTTTGATTTTGATTTTGATTAAATGTATAATTATTCTTTTTCTATAAACATTTTAAATAATATATCTGTTTATTTTGGGCAATTAAATCTTGCTCTTGTTGGAGAAGATGGATTTTTTTCTATGATTTTAACGTAAATTACCAGTTCAAGGGGTAATACAATATGAAACATTAGTTTAGGAAACGTGAATGAATTTCCATTTTGTACCATGGTTTTAACAGAGCCTATTATGTTGACTTAATGGTACTGCCAGAAGTAATATTAAAATTTTTTTTATTTAAAATATGGATGTTGGGATTCATGCTTGTAATCCCTGCACTCAGGAGAATGAGGCAGGAGTATTACTGTGAGTTCAAGGCCAGTCTGGGCTATATAAGAAACTTCAAGGCCAGCCTGCACTATACATAGCAAGACCTTGTCTCCAAACAACAGCAAAATGTGGAGATTATATTTTATTCTTTAAAAAGCCTTTTATAGTTTAAACACAGATATAGGTCTTTGGTGAGGCACATAGTATGCTAGGTTGCAATTCTTTTGGAAAATCAGAAGAGTTAAATTGTTTCAGTTGTTTTATAGCTGTTCTGCTTCATTTTTAAACTGCTTCATTTACGTGAACTTCAGTTTCCTAGTGAGAAAATGCATGTAAAATATTTAACTCAAAGGAAAATGCAGAGTAAGCTAAAAAAAAAAAAAACACTAAGTGTTGGGAGCCGCGTCTGTGATAGCTCGCCTTGCGCGGCTGACGTGCGGCCTGTGGTAAAGAGCAAAGCCTGAGGTAGATTACCCCTTCCATCGAATATGTTAGTTTCCTGCTTACCGCGTAAACAACCCGCTCAACAATATAGTCTGCCTGGCAACTGATGATGTTAGCCAATCAGCTTGCCTTGCTTACTTTAACATGATTGGACACTGTACCCGTATATATACCGGTGCCACCCCTGGGCGGAAGAAGAAGCCAGGTAGAAGCCCAGAAGTAAAAGCCCAAAAGGAGCCGCGGAGAGCGGACCGGTAGAGGCTTTGGGGCAGACTGAAGCACAAAAGGAGCCGCGGGGAGCGGACCAGAGGAGGCTTCAGCTGGGAGAACCCAGGGCAGGCTGTACGGAGAAGGAAAATAAAAAGAAAAGGTTGTCCACTACCAGACTTTGTCGTGTGTCCTTCCTGCCGGCCGGGAGCGGACATCGACAACTAAGAAGGAAACTAATGGTATTCAAAACTTTGTTCAATGGAAATTTCTTACAGCAAATTCAATAGTGATTAGTGTACCAAATGACTGATTACTTGTCCTTGTTGGGTTTAACCTCTGTGCTCCTTTTTAAGTTTCCCTCTCATCATAGTAGAGAATAGTAATTTCAAAATATGGACAATAACAGATTTATGATTCAGACAATTTTGTATTTTAGGCAGTGAATATATTTTGTGTGCCTTCACTTCAAAAATGAGACAGATCTCTTGGGCATGTTATGAACATCAGTCTTCAGTGGTCTGCTGTAACACAGAGTGAACTGGGTTTGTGTAAACGTGATGACTCAGTCTGGGTTGTGAAACTTCACATACAATCATTTCAGGGTAACTGAAACTTTGTTGGGAAGTAGTAACAAGACATAATTGTTTACATCCCTAAGTAGTTTACAGTAGAGGAAACTATTCAGATATGAACAATAAGATTAAATCAAATTATAAAAAAAACAGGGATCTTTGTTACTCTGCTACCGAAGTTATTTTACCATTATCTAAGCTGTCATAGTCTGACAACAATTATGGTATAAAATGTTTAAATTTAAGTGAATAATACAAGTAAGGGAATGGTCTCACAGTTGCATTTTACAGTGACACATTTTCAGAGGAAATATTTAGGATATATCAAAACCTCTAGTTCCCAAAAGAAACATGAGCATGTTTGTGTAAAGACCCATCTAGCAGACATTTTTAATAGTTTTATCAGTTACTGTATATTCCCACTTTAAGTAATTCAAGTATAAAATTATATACCCAAAATTAATTTGGGCCCTTAAGACCTAAAAAAAGTATTCCTTGAAGTTTTAACAAACAATCATCTATTGAGTCCTGCAGTGTTTATGCTGTAAAAATCCAGGAGATGCCATAATTACTGACTCCTGTATATGTGATACCTTCTAAGTTGGGTAGAATATCTGGCATCACAATATAATAGGTGTACTTGTGGGTCCTACTGAGTAGATTAAGAAAAAAAATTGAAAAGAGTTTCTTCTAAACTCTGAATTAAAGAGAAAAGTTATTAGTGACTCATAACAATTCCAAAATGTGGGCAAAATGTTTCAACTTACAACTGATAATGGCCATATTCCCTTCATAGCACTTGAAGCATACTACGTCGATAAAGTCTCGGGGGGAAATTGAGCCCATGGCAAAACTTTGTGTAATGGTATGACATATAAATGTGCTCTGTAACAAACCATAAAGATTACAAAATTATTTAATATCATTTTTATTGTTCCCCAAAGAATCTCATTACATAAGATAGGCCTTGCTGGAAAAAGCAAGGCTTTGAAATTTTAAGACTGTCTTCAAATAAGCTTGCCTTTTTAATGTTAAAGGAGCATTATAGCTACATTTATGAATGTAGAAAATTCAAGGAATAGTCTTAAGATCATCTCATCTTCCACTTTTTAGATAGAAGTCCAGCAATTATATGTATAATGAGATACATGCGAAATTAGAATCCAGATCTTCTAGTTTTTCCCAGGACAGTACTATTTCTACTATACCACATTGGCTAAGAAATGTAGTACGAAAAATACATAATTTAGTACCTTGTGATGTAAGGCCTAAAATAAAAACCATTGTTATGAGCTACCTATGATATCTGGCAAAACTTGGTGGGTCTTGACTATCATAACAGCAAGTTTCTCTCCCTATTTTTTTTGCAAATAAGATCCACTGGCCAAGCAACTCTTGTTATCAAAAGTACCAGCAAATTACATAATCTCTTGATCTTTCAAATTTTTTGATGCCAAGTCTTGTATTCTTTCCATCATAACAGCTGACTTGCGCCTCCATCAGAAATATCTTGGTCTTTTGTTTGTTTGTTTTTTAGTATTTCTTTTTGGTACTGGGAATCCAACTCAGGGTCTTGCGCTTGTCTGGCAGGTGCCACACTGCTGAGCTAGCTCAGCAGTTCTCTCTTTATGACGTGATGCATACAAAGATGCATGAGATAGTTCAATGTTTAGATTTTTATTTGTGATGGACAGTGTTTCTGAGACTGAACATTCAAATCTCAAAATGGCTGTGGACATCTTTTATTTATTGATAGGAACTTCAGGGGCTCTCTACAAGATGAAGCTGATTCACCGTCTTGGGCTTCTTACAATTTCCTTCCTAGACTTTAAGATCAATTTAATAAATGTAGAGAAAATTACAGAGTTCTAAATGTTAAAATGATGAGCAGATACCATTCATGGAGCCTAATTTTTGTTTTGATGGGTTGAAGACTAACCAAGATTTACAGTTTTTCAAATGCAATCATGGATAAAAATCAGAAAAAAAAGTTTGTTTCATTTCCTCAGTCTCATTTCCTAATAAAGCCATCATTAGCTAAAATCATAGCACCACTTTTGGGCTGGGGATAGAAGTGTATGTATATGCTAACAAGTACTCTACTACTAAGCTATATACCCAAACCTGTTTGAAAAATAGTTAACTAAGGTATACTTTATACATTATAAATTCACCCATTTTAAATATACAGTGAGTTTTCTAAAGTTTATTGAATGGTGCATTCTTCACCACAGTTCAGTTTAGAATTCATCTTTGTCTCTTTTCTCCTGCATCAGTAAATCCAGTTAACTCTACAATGCATCTTGGACCTCTGATTCATTGCCTCCTCCTCTGCTGCCATCCTACCATAAGCTTCTACGTATCTCCTTTGATTACTATGAGAATCTTCTAAGTGTTCTTGCCAATTTCATTCTCACCCTCTTCCAATCTGCTCTTGGTTCAGCAATTGTCTCCTAAAACCAAATCAGTCCCAAATCAGGTTTAAACCACTCCACTGGCTTCCTACTGAATTTAGAATAAAATTTTTTCCCTTTGTAGAATCAGATCCCATCCTACTCTCTCCAACTTTACTTCTTACCAAATTGCTTCTTTTTGTTCAAACTTTACAGACTTCCTTCTTCATTAAACAGTGCCAAACTCCAAAATTCAAGTTCTTCCCATTTTCTCTGCTGTGTCTCCTAGTCATTGCTTGTCTTTCCTTCTCACCTCCATATTCCATTATTCACATTTCTACCCAAATATCTCTCAAAGACTTTTTTTTTTTTGGTACAGTATATCAAACACATAACCTTGCACTTGCCAGGCAGGCGCTTGTGCTTCTGAGCTATTTTCTCAGCTCTCAAAAGACCTTTTCTGATAAGGTGTCAGCTGCTTTTGGTCATTGCCTTTAGCCTTCATAGTACTTATTTTTATCAATCCTAACCTTCATTATACTTTTAATTATCTGATACTATCTTTTTTATTGTTTACTTAAGATGTGTCTTCTGACTAGAATATATTTTTTCTGAAGGCAGGGACCTTTCTATCTTGTATTGCAGTATCTGAACAACAGTATATAGTTCACAACTGGTGCTAAAAATCTAAAAATGTATTTGCAGAATGAACTAGTCAGAGAATTAATATCTTTCCAGGAGGGAGGAATTGCAGTGAAGTCAGGATTCCTTCATAAAACTGACTCGAGAAAAAAAACACAAACAGTGGCAGAAATGGAGGATAAATTATAATATAATTATATTATTTTCCTTTCCAGATGCTTATTTATATAGCAGCCTCAACGAATAAGGGAGCTATTGCTTTTTATTCCTTGTTTCTTCCTAGTTTTTTTCACTGTATCCTCCCTCCTACTGATCTTTCTTCTTTCCCCTTCTCAGCCTACCTTGCCTCTCACCATCTGTTTCCTTTCCCTTGCCTGTCTTCCATTGTCTATTCCAATTAGCTATATTTTTATGTTCTCCATTTTTATTGTCCCTCTTCCTAGCTATTTTACTGGAATAAGTGAAAATGTTCTAAACTGTCACATTTTGGGTACCATTGAAGTATTTCTGTGTACTTTACCCTTATGCTTTAATGCTAGTCATAAGTCCTTATGGCATCTACATTGTTCCTGTTTTGCAATGTAATATGAATTGCCTTGACTTTTCATCTACAAGGAATGCTTAATTTTTATTTTCCATATAATGGAGGTCAAATTCCTTCATAAAAAAAAAAGTTCAATTCCTTCATAACAAAATGTATACAACATCAAGAAATGAGTTTTGGGGGCTGGTGATTTAGCTCAGCGGCATAAGCACCTGCCTTATAAGCAGGCAGTCATGAGTTCGATCCCCGGTACCGATAAAAATGAAAAAGATTGGCCTGGAGGTTTAGCTCAGCGGCATAAGTGCCTGCCTTGCAAGCAGGCAGTCGTGAGTTTGATCCCCGGTACCGATAAAAAGGAAAAAGACCAAAAAAAAAAAAAAAAAAAAAAAAAAAAAGATGAGTTTTCAAACAAAATGAAGCTATTTAAAAGTAAACTCTTGACTAATACAGAAGGAAGTTTTTTGGGATTGAACTAACGGCCTTGCATTTTCCAGGTAGATACTATGCTGCTAAGCTACACTCCCAGCCCCAAAAGGAAGTTTTAAGGCTTTTATAAAAACTTCAACTCAAGTCTATACAATCTTGTCTATATGCATAATTTTACTAAGCAACCCGAGACATAAAATTGAAAAAAATTCAATAAAAGTATATTACTAACAAATCACCGAATCAATCTTGTGTACCACATCGTATGTTTTCAATGATTTATCCCACATAACCTTGTTCCCAGGCTGGTAGAGGAAATCAGATAGTTTAGTTGATGATTCTGGAATTATCCCTTCAACACGATATCTGTAAATAAAAAAAATGAAAAGATTTAAATCTTAAATTTAATCGAAGCTGAAAATATACTATTGAAGTTAAAGGTAGGCTAATGGAGCAAATAACAGTGAAGAAAACTTGAAGTATCTTAAAGTATCTTGAAGATGAGTGTGTATCATTATCTGAAATGCTTCCAGTGGTTCCACTGTATGACTGTTAGTTCTCTGGACTCTGAAATGCTTGGGACCAGAAATGTTTCAGATTTGTTCGGCTTTGGGAAAATTTACATATAAATAATGATATATCTAGGGGATGGGGCCCCTCATAGTAAATGAAGAGCTAAAAGAACAAGAATATGAAAGGTAAGAAGGGGACTGTTGTGATGCAGCTCTTTTTAGAAGATCTGGAAGACCCTTTAATAGTTATTCCTGCCAGCGTCAAGAATAGACAACATTCAAGTGTTGGTGATACTGATGATACCAATTCTTTCACTTGTGAAGTACAGACGTGTGTGAAGTGATCTAATCTAAATCTCAGATTCTGTTTTTAAGAATGCTACAAACTCACTACTGAATAACAAATTTTCTTCATAAAGTGAGAGGGCAGCAGAATTTAACAACACTTTTCACACTATCTTATTAACAATATCTATATATTTGATAGTCAAGAATAATTTCAAAACTCAAGGTTTAGAAGGTATTGAGCCAGGATAATATGGGGCAAAGGTAATGTTCTTCATTTTGGTCACGGAAAATGTGTTTGTTTGTTGCTTTAACCTCAATGTTGTAATTTAAAACACTTATTAGACTCTCTCACTTGTCTGCCTCAGAGGACACAATTACATGTAGTGGTGGTAATGAAGGTAATAATAAAAATATGGAAATAATTGGCAGAGAACAAAAGGTAGTTTGCTAAATAACCCTGAAATGTCTAAAGGTAGGAAAGGTATACTACTACACTCTTCTAGATAATTTGCCTTAATTATTCCACAAATAGTTTGGGGGAGTCAGAGAAAATAGTGATTAAGAAAGTACACTGAGCCTTTGCAGCAAAGGCTTAGCCTTTAAAACTTTTTGTTTCACCAACATTTATGAGCTAGGAGACCTTGGGATAGTAACCTGTTCATCTGTAAAAATGGGCATATGAACAGTGCTTACATCATGTGATACATGAGGAGTAAATTTAAAAATAAATCATCTGGCATAAGGCCTGATTTATAATGAAATGAATAGCTGAGGAGCTTCTAATATTTAGGAAAATGTGTAGCCTGAACTGTGTGATGTTAAATTTATATTTCATTTCTTAAGGGCACAAAGAAAAAAAATTCTAACCAAACAACTAGCACCCTTTTCATGTTTATAAGTGTTCAAAGCCAATCATAAATGGCCCTTTTTGGGTAATAAATTTTAAGAAAAATGATAAATGTTGATAAGATATGTTATTTTTTGTACTGCAGTTAAGAGATATCTAACTTTGGTATTGTCCATAAATTCATTCAATAAATATTATGAGTCTACATGAGAGGGGCTGCTCTGGTGCTAGGGACACTACTCTGGTTCCTGTTAAAGTTCCTATGCTTGTCAAGTTTATAAGAAAGACACAAAACAACAAATGAATCATAAATAAATGTCACGTAGTGATAAACAGTGGCTGAGGGTATCTATATGGAGACTTTGGACAGGTGGCCAGGGAGGTATTTCTGAAGAGGAGATAATGAAGTTAAAAACTTGACTACAAAAACATTAACCTTGTAGAGATCTGGGAGAACATGCTAGTCAAAAGAAGTGCAACTATGAAAGCCCTGTGGGTTTAAGTTTGATGCATCAAGCAAGAGAAGTCTGTGGTGGCTTTAATGTAAGAACAAGGATCAAGAGCTAGGAAGTGAAGTCAGCGAGGCAGGCAGGGGCCAGGTAGTAACTTACAGATCATCATAAAATGTGTGGGTTTTGTTTTAGAGGTCATAGGAAGCCTTTAGAAGATTTAGCCAGAAGGATGACACAATCTGACATACTTTAAAAACCTGCTGTGGCTGGTGGTACATTCTACAATTCCAGCACTCGGAGGCTGAGGCAGGTGGATCATTGCAAGTCCCAGGCCAGCCTGAGCTACATAGTGAGTTTTGCACCAACCTGAACTACATAAAAAGACCCTGTCACGAAACAAAAACCAAAACTACTTTGGCCATTCTGTGAAGAATAGGATGTAGCTGAGTAAGAGTAGATACAAAGATTTTTAGGTAGCTACTCAAATACTCTAATGAGATGATGATGGATGCACTGGGGTGATAGCAAGGAGATAATGAAAAACTGTTACTTCTCTCTGTATGTGTTTGGTTAGATAGAGCTTCTTTTAGAGTCCAAATCTGAGGTTAGTGGCTCATTTTCTAGCCCAATGTTTTATAAGCATGCTATAGGTTAAGAAAAATAACTAAGTTTGAAATTAGACACCCTTCTTTACATTAGAACTCCTTGAAGCCTGAGAGTGAATCTCCAAGACAAGATTCCATGCTATCACGGAGTGTTTTAAAAACTTTTTTGACACTGCAACACCACCGCCCTTTTTTTGGTCTTTTTGAGACAGAATCTCACTGTGCAGTTCAGCCTGGCCTTGAGCAGCTCATTAGTAACCCTGGCTGGTCTTGAACTTGAAATGATCTTCCTGCCTGAGCCTCCCAAGTGCTGGGATTACAGGCACGCAACCCATTTTTCTCCCATGAAAGATTGTGAGAGGTCACACTTTATATACTATACTATAGCTCCATATTATAGATCTGTAGATCTATATTGTATAGATACTTCACACTTTATATACTATACTATAAATGTATAATGGTTAAATGGATATGTTTTTTGCTTTGATTTCTTACAACTCTTTTAAATACACGAAGCTTTGAAGCACTGGAAGACTTTAAATTTCCCTAGATTTTCCCCAGCTTGATGACAATCTCACTTTGTTCTCCCTCTAGGCCAGGGAGTGTACACTTTAAAATGAGGCATGCCTAGGTAAACAAAGTTTTAAAAGTCAGCACAATTTCCTTAGCATATTTGTATTTGAAACAAGAGTATCTTCAAAAATATCCTTAAAAGTAGCTTATGGGGAAAAAAAAAACATGTCAGCAAAACAAATGAGGAAAAAGACCTACTTTTTAGTAGTTTAAGAGAAAGGAAAATAGTTTAAGGCTATAAATATGGTACTACTTCTAGCAAGAAGACAGCAATATGCTTGTATACATTATTTCTTGAAGTGGAATTTTCCTATCTTAGCATATTATTCATTAGAAGGGATATTTGTTTTTGTGGGTCTCAAACTTGGCCTCATGCATGGCAGGCAAATATTCTACCACGGAGCGATACTGGCAGCCAAGGAGAGAGTTTTTTGCAGTGGGTGGGGGGAAGGTGGTTGTTTTTAAGTTTGAAAATAAATGATTAGATAGTGCACAGTCACTATTTTATTAATATCACATTGCAACGGAATTTCTATTTTGTGTTCAATAATTTGCTGTAGTTAATGAAGCAGCACTAAATTCTGGATACACTGATGCTACTGAATTCTTTAAAACAATGATTACAAATAGAAAATTGTACTCACAGATTTCCGACAAATCTTTTAGAAGCCTTGGTGGAAACAGTTATCTTTTTCTCAAAGAGAAATAAAAATCCACAAGTAAATTGTCAGATTTAGAAAAAGAAAGAACACAAAAGTAAAAATATTTTTCTAGTTGGTAAAAGAAACTTTTTAAGAAGTGTCTTTAACAATGAATTCTCATTAAAATATAAATTCTTGAAATATGATTGTTTTCTTACTGAATTTTTAACCACTTTCCAGCCAGATGTGTCTTGATTGTAACCAAAAACTTCTTGGGAAGTTTGTTGAGCAATTGTCTTATAGTCCATCTACCTGCAAATTTTTAAAAGCAAATGACAAATAATGTAATCATAAAACATTTTTTTAAAGAGAAAAAGATAAAATTTCAAAAAGATACTTGGAGGGTAACAATGATTAATAACTATATTGTGTATTGCTATCTTTATATTTCTTACTCAGAGCAGAAGATATCTGCAATTGTCCAAAAATATTAGCACAAATCTTTCTTTACAATGAACTGGAAGACAGCAGTATAACTCTCTTAACTATCTTTTATGTACATATTTCAGTTTCCCCCTACATTGTAGGTTGTCTCTTCACTCTGCTGGTGGTTTCTCTTGCTTCTTAATGAGATGAGATACCAGTTGTTTATTCTTTGTGATAGTGCCTGTGTGATCAGGGTTTTATTTGTAGTCTTGCTTACACTAATGTCTTTAAGAGTTTTACCTATTGTATCTTCCAGTAGATATAATATTTGTTTTAATACTTAGATGTTTGATTCATTCTGAATTTAATTTAGTGCATGGTGGAAAGGTCCACTTTTAATCTTTGGCATATGCAGAGCCAGTTTTTCCAGCACCATTTATTAATCAGTCTGCCAGTGAATGTGTTTGGCACCTTTGTCAAGGATAAGGTAGTTTAGTGTATCTGGAGTTGTTTCTGCATCTTTTAATCTGTTCCATTGATCTTAAGGTCTGTTTTTTTCTTTGCCAGTAGCACACTTTTTTTTTAAATTAAGTAGCTTTACAGAACAATTTCAAGTCAGGGACTGTGATGCACCATTTTGTCTGTTGTCCAGAATTGCCTTTGCTATTCTAGGTCTCTTCTGGTCACTTCTGGTTTCACATAAATTTTAGGATTGTATTCTCTAATTCTGTGAGATATGCAATTGGACTTTTAATTTGGATTGCATTGAATCTGTATAACAGTTTTGGAAGTATGGCCATTTTCACTATATTGGTTCTTCCCATTCAAGAGCAAGTGTTGCCTTTCCGTTTTCAAATATCCTCTTCAATTGCTTTTTTCAGAGTATTGTCGCTTTCAATGTAAAGATCTTTTACATCCTTCATTAGATTGATTCCTAGGTATTTAATTTTTTTGGATGCTATTGTGAAAGGTGGTATTCCACTTATTTTTCTCCCAGTGACTTTGTTATTCATGTACAGGAAAGCTATTTAGTTTTGAATGTTAACTTTACATTTAGCTACACTACTGAATTTGCTTATTAAATGTACCAGTTTTTTAGTAGAGTTTTTGGAGCCTTCTATGTAGAATGTTATGTTATCTGTAAATAACAATGATTTAACTTCTTCCTTATCTTTATTCCTTTTATTTCTCTCTCTTGTCTAATTTCTCTGGCTAAAGTTTCTGGGACTATGTTGAATAAGAATGGAGACAGTGAACATCCTTGTCTTGTTCCTGATTTTAGAGAGAAAACTTTCAGTTTTTCCCCTTTTAGTATGATGCTGGCTTAACATAGATGGCTTTTATCAGATTGAGATAAAAAGAATCTTACAATTTTTTACAGGGTTTTTATAATTAATAGGTGCTGGACTTTGTCAAAAGCTTTTTCTGCATCTATTGAGATGATCATATGATTTTGGTCTTTGGCTCTGTTAAAATGATATATTACATTTATTGATTTACATATGTTGAACTATTCCTGCGTTCTTGGAATGAGTTCCACTTGGTTATGGTGTATAATCTTCTTGATGATTTGCTGCATTCTGTTTGCATGGTTTTTATTAAAGATTTTTGCATCTGTGTTCATTAGGGAGATTGGATTATAATTCTGTTCATTAGTTGGATCCTACTCCAGTTTTGGCATCAGGGTAATGCTTACTTCCAGGAATGAATTTGGGAGTACTGCCTCCCTTTCAATTTTATTAGAGTTTGAAAAATAGTGGTGCTAGATCTCCAAATTTCTTGTAGAATTCAGTAGTTAATCAGGGACTGGGCTTTTCTTTGTTGGTAGGTTTTTAGTTATATCTTCAATTTTACTGATTGATAATTGGGTTATTTATGATTTTTAAATCTTCATTCAGCTTTGGTAATTCATATTTATCTAGGAATTTGTCCACTTCTGCATTTTCCAGTTTATCAGAATACAAGTTTTTAAAGTAACAAAGGATAGGGGCTGGGGATTTAGCTCAACAGCATAAGTGCCTTCCTTGCAAGTGTGCGGTCATGAGTTTGATCCCTGGTACCGATAAAAAACAAAAAAGACAAAAAAAAAAAAAAAGTAACAAAGGTCTTCTAGATTTCTCCAGGGTCTGTTGTGATTTCACCATTTTTATTCTGAATTGTGTGAACTTGAGTCTTTCTGTTTTTGATGAGGTTGGATAAGGGTTTATAAATTTTATTTACTCTTTCAGAGAACCAGCTCTTTATTGTTTTTTAGTCTCTAATGCATTAATTTCTGCTTTGATCTTTATAATTTCCTTCCTTGTCTGAGCTTTTGGCTTAGCCTGGTTTTTTTTCCTAGAAGTCTGAGGTTCACCATTGAGTTGTTCATATGCATTTGCTCTGTTTTCCTAATATGGGTATTTACTGCTATAAATTTCCCTCTTAGGACTGCTTTCATGGGTCCTGTAAGTTATGATATGTTGTACTGTTATCATTCAGTTGTAAAAACTGTCTAATTTCAATTTTAATTTCATCTGTGACCTATTGGTTTATTACTAGGGTATTATTAGTAAGGGTATTATTTAATTTCCATGTGTTAATGAAGTTCTTGTGGTTTCTTTTGCCACCGATTTCCAACTTCATTGTACTATGGCCTGATAATATGCACAGGATAATTTCAATTCTTTTGCTTCTACTTAAGCATGTTCTATGGATCATATGTGCTCTATTTTGGAGAACATCCCATGTGCAGCTGAGAACAATGTGTATTCTGATGTTGTGGATGGAATACTTTGTAGAATCTATTGTCGTTTCGGTCAGTTCTAGTATTTCACTGTTGATTTTTTTGTCTAGTTGACCTGTCTTTTTGTGACAATACTATTGTATTAGTGCTTATTTGGTTTTCATGCCTATTAGTATTTTTTTATGTAGTTGGGTACATTGATATTTGTTGCGTATATATTTATGATAGCTATCTCTTTCTCTTGAATTGTTCTCTTTAGAAGAATGTAATGGCCTTCTTTATCTCTCTTCATCAATCTTGGCTTGAAATTCACTTTGCAAATAGAATAGCTACCCCTGATTTTTTTTCTGGGTTCCTGTCTCATGGAGTATTATTTTCCATCCTTTGAGTTTGTCTTTCTTTTTGAATTAAATATTTCTTATGTAGCATATTATTGGGTCTTGTTTCTTTTTTATGTTTTAAAAAAATTTTATTTAAAGAGAAAAAAGAAAAACAGAAAAAGGGTAGAAATAATATATAATTTCAAAAAAATAAACAGTAAGAAACCACTAGTTGATAAATTACATACTGTCCTCTTAGAAATAGTTGCTCAAGTTACAAAATTAAAGCATACAAAGTGGACATTTCAAAGAGTGAGACTGCAAACAGCTCTGTTCAATGATCCAACAAAAACTTAGTAACATGGTTATCAATCCTATACACTTGAAACATACATGCAGTTTTACCCTTTAGAGCACTTTCTTTTCCTCTCTTTTTTTACAATAGCAATTACACATTTTGGGTTTTATTACTCCTACGTTCTTATTTCTTTTTACACCCAATCAAGATGGTATAGCAATTTTGAATAACTCAGTATCAGCTATTGAAATTGGAAATGTAATTAAAAACTTACCAACAAAGAAAAGCCCAGGTCCTGATGGAGTCATGGCTGAATTCTACAAGAAATTTAGAGAAGATTTGATACCAATACTCCTTAAACTCTTCAATGAAGTTGAAAAGGAAGCAATCCTCCCTAAATCATTCCTGGAGGCAAGTATTACTCTGATACCAAAACCAGAGAAAGACCCAGCCAAAATGGAGAACTATAAGCCAATCTCACTAGTGAACACTGATGCAAAGATTCTCAATAAAATACTGCAAATAGAACGCAGCAAGTCATCAAGAAGATTATACATCATGACCAAGTGGGATTCATTCCAGGAATGCAAGGATGGTTTACAATAAGCAAATCAGTAAGTGTAAAATACCATATCAACAAAGCCAGAAAAAAAACATATGGTCATCTCAATAAATGCAGAAAAAGCTTTCAATAAAAGTCCAACACATGTTCATGATAAAAACCCTTCAGAAACTCGGATCTTGCTTGATCCATTCTGTCAAGTCTCTTTTGATTGGCAAACTGAGACCACTAACATTGATGGTAATAACAGATACGTTTTGATTTATACTTGTCATATTATTTTCCTGTTGTTGCCTCCCCCAGCCCCAGTTTGCTTTGCCTGGTGGGTTCCTTCTATGGGGGTTTATAGAGTTGTAGTCCTTATCTCTTTCTAGAATGTCCTTCAAAACATTTTGGAATGCTGGTTTGGTGTTTATAATTTCCTCTGATGTTCTTTGTCATGGAAGTATCTTATTTCTCCATCCGTTTTTTTTTTTTTTTTTTCTGGGAGCAGGGATCAAACTCATAACCTTGTGCTTGCCAGGAAGGCACATACTCTGCTGAGCTAAATCTCTGCTCCTCTCCATCAGTTTTGTGGGGTATATCAATCTGGGTTAAAAGTTGTTTTCTTTTAGAATTTGAAATATTTCACTCCAAACTCTACTTTGAGAGTTTATGTTTAGAAGTCAGCTGTAATTTTGATGGACTTTCCTTTATAGGTGATTTGTTTCTTTTTCCTAACAGCTTTTAAGATTTTATTCTTGTGTTGAATTTCTGTAATTTTGACCATAATAAGCCTGCCTGTAGATTTTTTTTTTTTTGATCACAGCTAAATGGAGTTATATATACCTCACTTACCTATGTGTCAAATTCTTTTTCTCCACCAGGGAAGTTTTCTGCCATGACATCAATGAGTAGTTTTTTCTTTTCTTTTGCAGTACCAGGAATCGAACTCAGGATCTTGTGCCTGCCAGGCAGGTGCTTATGCCACTCAGCTAAATCCTTGGCCTCTTTTTTTTTTAATGAATAGTTTTTTAAATATCTATTTATAGGATCTCCTGCTTTTTCATTGACTCCAATCAAACTTGAGTTATTCTTTGTCTCATCTAGCATCTGCTGGACTGATTTCTCATGGTCCCCTGATATTTTTGAGAATTCTTTCTTTTCATGATCGTTAACTGCAAGCCTGTTTTCTCTATCTACAATCCTGTCCTTATATTGGCTTAATCTGATGCAAATACTTACAATGGAATTTTTATTCTTCTGGATACCTGCTTGAATCTGCCTTATGGATTCCATCTTTCCCATGCTGAACATTTATGGTTTCTATAATTTTCTTAAACTTAACTATTTTTTTCCCTGTATCTGCTCTAGGTTCACTAAGCATGGTCTTTATTTTGGATACCATCTCTGCAGTTATCTGAGAGATTGATTTTTTTCCAGAGCTTCATTCAATTGCTTTGTTGTTACTACTTCAGAAAGGCCAGGTAGGAGGTTTTTGAATTATCCCATCTTACTGCCCTCTGGGTTTGCCGTTGGTGAACTAGACATCTGGGGTTGCATCTGGTTTTAGTGTCTTCTCATTTTTTCTTTTTTTTTTTTTAGTTTATTTCCTGAGGCGATGCTTGTAAACTGCCTATGGTGGGTTGTTTTATTGCTAGTTTTTAGGATCCTTAGGTAATGACGTCTTTGAGGTATTTTCCAAATGTAGCTGGTTTTTGGGTTTTGAGTCTGTTGGAAGATCAGACTGTTCAATTTGTTGGAGATGAGAAGTTGCTGCTTGTTTGGCCCAGTCCATGGTTCTTTGGCATTGTGCAACATTATTTTCTGTGACCCTTAATCAATCTCAGACATGGAATACCAGGAAGAACAGATGTTTAGAATAATTATGACACTTTTGGATACATTGGTACCAATAGCATCAAACACAGACTAGAAAATAACAGATTGAGCTAACCATTAATTTGCCACTGTTAACCATATGAACTAGATTTGTGGTTTTATAACAAAATCTAAAACAAACTAGAAAATTAAATGTGGTATACAAGTCCTTACTATGTCAACTTTGCCCTCAGGGAAAAAGACTTTTGAAACAGGGTCCTACCATGCTGCCCGTTATTCCTGAACTTGTGGGCTCAGTCTTCTCGCCTCAGCCTCTTGAGCAGCTGTAATCATAGGCATGTGCCACCATCCTTAACTCATAGAAAAACTTTTGAATTGGTATATTACCTTTTAGTACTATTTCTACAAAGTCTGTCACCTATAAACACAAAATAGTTATGTGTTCATTGTATGCATGAATCTTTTCTCTACATTTTTTCAACTGAAAAAACATGGCCTAGTGGCAAAAATCAGGCTTTGGAATCAAAGACACCTAATAAAAATTCTATCTCTGACACATCACGCAAAGCATTTAACTTACTATTTGTTTTCTCATTTTCCTCTTGGTATAAAATTGGGATAATACATTGTAAGAATGTGTGAGGATTGAGATAATGTACTTACATATTCTACCCTCAATTCTGGCACATAATAGTCATTCACTAAATAATTATTTCTTACATGCTTTCTTTTTCTGTAATGTATCACAATATGCTCTCTGGAATTGAACTTTCCAAGTGTGTAGTAGTGACAGTATCTGATCTGAGTTCCTCTTCAAAACATATCTCCTACTAGTTGCCTTCTTGTCTCTTTAGCTCTAATCATATTGAACTCCTTCCTGGCTGCTCTTCAAACATAGCTAAGCAACTTCCTACTTCAGATCTTCGGACTTGCTCTTCTGCTTGGAAAATTCCTGCTTGGTATGTTTACACGACTGACTGTGTCACGGTTATCTTTGCTTAAATGGCACCATTTCAGGATGAAGTTTAAATGAACTTATTTCATTTACCTTTACTGAACTCCTACTTGAAGTTAGGTCTGAATGGACTGAGTGTTTGTGCCCACCTTAACCAATTCATATGTTGAGATTTAATCTCCAATAAAATAGTATTGGAAGAGAGGCATTTGGGAGGTGATTAGGTCGTGAGGGCAGAGACCTTATGAATGACATAAGTATCCTTATAAGAGACTTCAGAGAGCTCATTTGCTTCTTCTGACATGTGAAGACATGGCCAGAAGATGACAGTTTACATTTTGGAAAAGGCCCTCACCAGAAGCCAATTACGATGGCACCCTAATCTCAAATTCCAGCCTTTGGAACTGAACCATATATTTTTACTGTGTATAAACCATTCTATGGAAATCCGTTGTTTCAGCCCAAAGGGTTTTAGCTCAAAAGGTTTAGTGGTTTAGACAGTTGAGAACAGTACTGTTTCTGCTGTGAATGAAGCTATATTCCTTCCGGTTCTCAGCCTGTTTTCCGGTAGGCAAAGCTGGCAGGTATGATGCAAAGAACATGCAAACAGACCAGGATTTAAATTTTGACTGTGCTATTACTTGCATTATTCTGGAAAAGTTGCTTAACCTTTTAACTTCAATTTACACATTTAAAGAATGAGAATAATAATAGTTCTCTCATGTAGCCTATAAGGATTGGGTTAACTTGAAACAGTGAGGGACCTTGTTACAGGTGATCTAAAAGGTTACTTTTCTTAAAATGGGCACATTTAAAGCCATCATTTAAAGAATCCTTTAAAGAGCTTTTTGTTAAGCACCTTGATAATCTTAAAGTTTAATTATCAGAAATTACTTTTCTTAGGTGTCATCATAACTTTTTTCCCTATTTCTCCAGCAAGTACAACACCTAGATGACTTTTAAAATGTGTATTAGAAAGGCTTTAGTAAACTATTATAACCTTCTCTTTCCTGGTACAGACCTGGTTTCTTTACTTTTCCTAACAAATTTAGTCCAGAATTTTAATAACCACAGGGACTCTTCTCTAAATTCTCCTGGAAAAATCCATATCTGTTAACCTGTAAGGGAACAAAGAGGTAGAATTACTTTGATCCATGAACTGGGTCAAAACATTTAATAAATCCCTTTGTATCTTAATGTTCTTTATGTTGTCTGGGAAAATGAAGTGACAAACTTTAAAAGCTAATAGTTATTTAGAATTTTTATACAAAGCAGAACAGATTAAAAAGTTATTTAGGTAGAATGTGGGTTGGAAACATCAGCAACTTACTTGATCTTGACTGATTTAGAAATTTCACAGATCCTTATTACCAGCTGTAGGGATTGTGTTTTATAATTTTCAAATCAGTAACACTGATACAATGGATGCATTTAATTGAATCACTGAACTAAATTTGATACCTTCTAAACATTTACTAAGAAACTGGAAAGTAAAGTTCAGTACTCTAAAGGGGCGGGGGGCAAATAGCACAGTTCTATTACCTGGTGATGTAACATCAGATGAACTGGAACATACTCAGATGTAGTGTTGGTCCAGGATATCTTCACCCACAGGACAGTGGAAAGTAAACATAAACCAATATTGAGATGGCACTGTTTGGTTTTGCCATACCACTAGGTTGAAACTGGATTCTTTGCACCTCATACCCTGTCCAGGTCTTGTAGACAGTTTCACACATGTGGTAAATGGGTCTTTAAGTCTGTTCTTATAATTCCCTTTCTTCGGGCTACCTGCCTAGGTCCCCCATCCGTGTCATTTTTCCTTGGGAATCCAGGTCCCTAAAGAGTTTGTTCAGTCCTGTCCCTGATGCAAGTCCCTTCCCCAATCCCACATCTGCCTTTTAACTCGAGGAGCTGGCTGGAAGGAAGCCCTGCAGGGCCAGGGTTGCGGGGCGAGCCTGGGATGTGGCCTGGGAACTGGCGGCGCCACAGCTGCCGGGGAGCAGGAGTCGCCTGCCCGTCTGGGTGCCCCTCCCACAGCCCCGGGGCAGCCGAAGATCCGCGGATCAGAGGAGCGGAAGTGCCGACCAGAGCGGCGGCCAAACCGAGGAGGGCGTGGGACACGGCCCAGAACCCCTCCCTCCCAACCGCGAGAGACCACGCGGCGGAAACTACACCTCCCAGGAGGGACCAGGACCCAACGCCTCGCCGTGCGCCCTCGCGTCCCACCTCGGGCACCCCCGTCCCTCGCGCTAGCGCCGCGCACGCGCACCGCCAGCCGGCGCCATGTTGGATCGGTTTGAACGCAAGCGCGGGCGTCGAGTTCTGCTGTGACGGCAGCGGCGGCGGGAGCTGCGGGCCGGCGGAGGCGGGGCGTGAGCTCGGCGCGGATGCCTCGTCCCGTCGCCGGTACCGTGATACACCCAGGCTTCCGGCGGAAAGCTGTGGAAGCGTGCGTTTAACATCTCATTTTGGGCTTTCGTGGGTAACCGGCCGGACAGGGAGGGGGCGTCGCTTTCTCTGACAGGCGAGCGAGAGGAAGGAGGAGGTCGGCTCCCGGGGGAGGGCGGCGCGCGGAGGGCGTCCCGCGGGCCGAGGTTCCCGGTCGGGGAGTTGGGGGCGCGGATTCTGGGCTGGCTCTTTGGGGGCAGAAGCTGAGTAAAGTATTCCGAGCGAGCCGTGGCTCCTGTCGGAGACTGCGCCTTCGTCTGCGAGAGCCTGGGGCGCGCATTTCACCACGTCCAGCTCTAAAGTTTGAAACGAGCGCGCCCGTGTGGGCGAGGGCTGCGCTCGGAGTTGTCCTGAACTTCCCGAGCAGTATTCCCGTGGGTGATTTAACACGAAGCGTTGTTTTTGAATCAAGGTCGTTGAAATGTCTCGCCCTGACTTTAGCATTCTGTTTGCCAGGATGGGTTTGCTTTTGGAGATACGAACGGCAGCTTTTGCAGAGGAAATGGTAAGAGGAGTGATGTTTGCTTAATGAGATTCAAAATAATCCCGTGGTCGAAGTGGCAGGGGTGCATTGTTAATCAGCTTTCCGGTCCTGTTTGTAGAAAGGCTAAAATTTCATAGTGGCGCTTACAGTATTGACAGTAAGTAGTCTCCATTGACTGTTCTTTTAGCCAAAAATCCAAGAAGCGATCCCTTCTTGTTTCCAAAGCTTCATTTGGTATCTTGAAAAAAATTTATTGACCACTTCATTATCTTCAAGTAGGCACTGGTGATTTAAAAAACAGTGTGTGTAGTGGGACTATTGAGTATTGTGATGTCATAAAGTATTGCCATAAAAAGAAAAGACAACAGTTTTTAGGACTTTGAAAAGCGTAAATATTCTTTCCTTGGTTTTTCCGTGTATATTCTTACATAATTTTTGTATACATGCAGGCGTGTTTTCTGTATCATTGATGACATAAGTCACAATAGACAATAGAAAACATACAATTCCCAATTAAGACTATTATAGATATGATTTTATTCCTTAATGAAAAAATTTTAAAGTTTATAATATGTAAATATTCTTTGCATAAATAGCCATTATTTTTAATTTAATTGGCGCTTTGTCCTGTTATCTTTGTATTACAGCTGTTTCATCAGGGAAATGCATAAACATTTTGAAGAAGCATGGCAAAATCAAAAACAAAATACAGAGTTTGTTCTCAAGAGTCTTCAATATCTTCTCTCCTGGCAAGCTGCAGCCTAAGTAGTAGCAATTCCTCTAACTCTGTTGGCTCTTTTCACTATAAGGATAAACTGTACAGTTCTGCTTCTCAGGCTCTACAGGCCTATATTGATGATTTTGATCTAAGCCAGGTGTATCCTAGTGCAAGCACTGGAAAAATTAGCATTGATAAAGGTGCTGCTAATATTCCACACTTCTCCAGTTATATTTCTAAACCAAGCAATGGTACGCTTTTGTTCTTTGTTTTCATCATGTCTAGTGATTTGAAGCATAAGTAGGTAATTGATTCTAAACCTCTAAAAAGTTGTTTTACTGTATACCATAATGGTAACAATGTTGCTTCAGTGATTCTGGCTTTCATTGACTAACTTAACAGTTTTAAACTTCAGCACATTTGAGGTTATACTTGTTTAGTTTCACTTGATGGGATAGGATTATATTAGTCTTTTTGATCTGTTTTTGTGTGGACCAGTAATCACAAAATGTTAAAGAGAGTTTGTCTTTGATAAAACCTCCATGAAGGTGAATCTGAAAGTGTTGTTGATAAACTAGTTAGCACTTTACTAAGCAATGAACCGAATGGGACTAGAGGGCTGGGGATACATAGCTCAGCCACACTGCACCTACTTGGCAAGTGTGAAATTGATTTTTATTCCTGGTACCAAAAATAAAAAAGGCCCTAGAAAAGAAAAAGTGTGTATTCAACTGTGGATGATGTATTTCAGAAGAAAATGAGCACAACTTTTCAGTGTGTGTAACCATGCTGTTGTGAGTAGGAAAGAGAGCACATTATTTTTCCTCTTAGTTTGATAGCATATCTGTGCTACAACCAATATCAAATGGCCAGTGTTAACATGGTTGTATTAGAATATCAAGCATGTCTAAATGAAAACTGTTGAAGACATGGTGAATTAGAGAATATTGGACAGTTCAGGCAGTTGGCGATGAGTATGTAGAGTTAAATATTGAAGACAAAAAAACAAAGGCATTCTAGTTTAACTGTTTATACCTTTTATACCTTTGAAATTCAGTGAAGATAAGAGAAAAGCAGCAAAAAAATTATTAAATTCTTAATTTGCATTTACTATTGAGTTTTTTTACTATTGCATTTACTATTTTATGTTGTAAAAGAAAGGTAAGTAGAACTATGCTTTGTTTTTCAGCTTTTGATCACAAAGAGCACTCACACTTCGTGTCCTATAAAAGAGAGCCTATTAATGACGTAGACTCCGTTAGCCTAACAACTGATGATCTGTTAAGACTTCCAGCAGATGGATCATTTTCTTTCACTTGTGTTGGACCAGGTCACCGAACAAGAAAGAAAAACAAGAAATCCATTAGAAGATCAGATTCATTGGACGTTGAAAAGAATCCAGATTTTCGAGAGACCTTCACCTCCATGGGCACAAATAATTTAGTTACTCCAGTTGAATACACAAATAGAAAACGATGTGGTAGGCTAAAAAACCCAAAACTTACAAATAAGACTAATAAATGTGTTTTTGACTCATCTTTATCTTTTTCTAAAGAATCTTTCAAGGACGGTTCAGAAGATGGTCTTGAAAAGAATTATCCAAGATGGCTCACTAGCCAGAAATCTGATCTTAATGTGTCAGGGATAACTAGTATTCCTGATTTTAAATATCCAGTCTGGCTCCACAATCAAGACTTGTTACCTGATACAAGAAGTAAAAAGGTTTCTAAAGAAAAGCATTGTTCCCCCAGACATAGTTATCTGGCTCAAAGAACTCAACATATGAATAAAGCAGATTGTTTGGAATGCCCTTTGGAACCCTCGAATTTTTCAAATTCCTTATGTGATGATGAAAGACTTGTTAATGACTACAAATATGACTCTGAACATAGTCAGTGTAAATGTCAAAATCCACTTCTTCCAGGACAATCCAAAAATCCATTCAGTGGTAATATTTTTAGTTTTTTTAAAACAAAGTGCTATAAATTTGCTTTACCTTCTATGATAGTTTATATTTTATTTTTGATGCAAGTATATTGCTGTTTAGAATGTTTACAATCTTTATTTGTACAGCATTTCATAACTATTAATGTCTTTTTATCTTGAGGGGTCACATTTTGATATAGTTTGCTGTTATAAATGTGTATATTCCAAATTACTGATTTTGTGAGATACAGTTGTGCTATTTTTAAAGAATTAATACAATTTTTAAAAACTAGGTGACAAAATTGAATTGCTTATCCTGAAGGCCAAGAGAAATTTAGAACAGTGTCCTGAAGAATTACCAAGATCTGTGAAAAAGGATGATAGTCCATGCTCATTAGATAAACTTGAAGCAGAAAGATCATGGGAAAATATTCCTGTTACTTTGTAAGTAAGTGACAGTATTTTCTTTCTGAGTGAAAAATGTAGTACTAGATTTATTTTTAAAATAATAGTAATTAGTAATACTGTGATTCTGTTGAATATAGTTTTCAGTTTTGGAGGCTGTAAATTGTATTTTTCATTTGTTACCACAAGATAGTGTAGTGTTTTATACCTTCATGGTACATTATATAACTTGGATTTGTCACATACTTTGTTTCACTATTAAATACTGATATACAGGGAGCTGGGGATTTAGCTCAGCGGCATAAGTGCCTGCCTTGCAAGCATGCAGTTGTGAGTTTGAGCCCGGTATCAAAAAAAAAAAAAAAAAAAATACTGATATAGATCTCAGTAAGAGGTGTTAGAACCAAAGATGTGTTGGAACCAAAGATGGTTATTTTGCACATGGAAAGGTTGTTATAAAATTTTTGTTACTTTGTTTTTTAATTTTAAGCTTTACACATTTTCTATCATTTCATTTACATTTTACTTTCTCAGTCATCATTTTCCTTAAGTAATGGAGTATTTTCTTAATATGGTCCATTGTTTAGATTTTTGTAATTTGGAAGGTTGTTTTAATTTGTTTGCCTATCTTTCTTTTTTCCTTTTTTTTTTGGTACCGGGGATCAGTTGTCTTTTTGAAACAGGGTCTTGTATGCAGTTCAGGCTGGTCTTGAGCTCACTTTGTAACTCAGGCTGTGTGCTTAACTTTTGTCTGATGTTGTTTCTCAGAATAATTTAACAAGTGTTTATCTAGAAATTAGGGGTTGTGAGTAGGGAGTTAGATTTGGGAGGTAGGCAAGATTTTATTCTTAGTGACATTATTATATTTGGACTTACAGAAATGAAATATTGGTAACCTTATGTCTTAGGCTCTGATAATTTATGACGTTCTATTGTTTATTTTGTTGTGGTCTTTTAATTACTGATTTTTTTCTTCTCAGTTGAATACCTCTGTTTTGAATGTCAACACTGTATAATTCCAGTTTGGATTACTGTCTAGGCTGCTTTCTTGTGAGACCCTGTGCAGGTTACTTTTGTAAACTGTAGAGGTAGTGAAGTAAATACTTTGGTAGTGACATACATCCTTTTACAAGGATTCAACTGATTAGAAATGCAAGTATTTAGAACAGTTTCTGACAAAGGGTGAACTATCTTATAAATTATAGTGGTGATGCCTGTCCAGAATATTTTTAGACTTTTGCTTTGTTTCTCAAATTGTGTCAATAATATTTTTTGTAAAAACTTGAATTAATAACTTTATTTTGTGCTTTATCTAGCCTCCTAATTTCTTTTTCAGTTGGTTTATATGTTAGTAAAATATTAGAAATGTAATCCTTTGCTTTTAATTGGGACAAGTAATGCCAAAAATGTTTAAGAGTAAGGTTTTGTTTTGTATTTAGAATAATATAATTCCTGGCTTACATAACTTACATAACCAATGGTTTGGATTAGTAACCTGCATGTAGTAGTTAATTTTGGAGGATCAGTTCATGTTATGATGCTTACAGATAAAACTAAGGATGGATTATTGAGTAGAATGAATAGATCTCAGTTTGACATTGACAAATTACTATCAATCTGTCATCAAGTTGAAGCAAATTGAATGTGAAACATGAAAGATAGTTATAAGGAAGATCATAACTAGGATCCGTGAATTGCTTTTAAAAAATTAAAAAATTTTTCATTATGAAAAATTTCAACCCAATTCAAAAGTAGAATAATGTAGTAGACGTCTATGAACCACACACCCATCTTTAATAATCACATAAATGTTTTTGATAACACTACGTGGATGAATAGTCAAACTATATTGGTAAACAGTGAGGGAAAAAGGCTACCCAGAGTGAGAAAAAACTCATACTAAAAATGTCAAAAACAAATGTCAATAAAGAGGTGCTGTGTATGTGTGTATGTTTGTGTGTGTGTGTGTGTGTGTGTGTGTGTGTGTGTGTGTGTGTGTGTTGGAGATAGGGTCTCACTATGCAGTCGAGGCTGGCCTTGAGCTCATTTTGTAGCTCAAGCTGGTCTCAGACAACATGCCCTGCTAGAGGTGCATCTTTATAAGAAAAAATATTAGCATACGACATTTAAATGTTACAAAAAGATTCTTACATATCTGAGTTCTTGAGTTACGAACGCTTTATAGTGATATAAAAATAATAGAAATGAATTTATTTCTGTGACTATTAGAATTTGGTTAGGCAACATTCTTATTTTTGCTGGGGATGCCATTTACTATTTCTTAAACACCAGGAAATAAATGAGTGTTTACTGGGCATTTATTACATAAACATAACCGTAAGCATAGAGAATTAGCTCAGTTATTTTTATAATATCTCTGTGAAATAAGTGGAACAATAAATTTACAAAGTGAAATTGTCAGGTAAATTTCCTAAAGTCATAGAGTGAACAGGGCTGGGATTTTAATTAAATAAGCACTTTTAATTAGATAAAAGTTTAATAAATTTAATTAAATAAATTCAATTAAATAAAATTACTCAATTTTAATTGAATAAAATTTTAATTTCAAAATTAATCCTTTTCCCAATATAGTCTTTTATATTAATATAAGTTCTGGAGAAGAAGTATGTCCTATTGCCTTGAATTGGTACATTCAGTAGAAATTCTTACGGGTTTGTAGAGGTTTAACTGTCATTGGATAAAAATAATTTTTTAATTTTAATTTAAAAAATGTTTGGTGATGCTGGAAATTGAATCCAAGACCTTGCACTTACTAGGCATGTACTTTATAAGTGATCTGCACCATCAGCTTGACAATGTTTAAATGGAAAAATGTAGGTGTTTCAAATGAATTTTTAGAGCCATCGTTGAGAGTTTATTCATTTACTTAAAGGCCTCTCTTCAGTTTCTTCATAGTTTTTCTTTGAAGCTTGGAGGAGATATAGGGGATAGAAAGTTGTTAGATTCTGCTATCAGTTTAAGAAGAAGATGGGGAAATTATATAAAATTAATCATACCCATGATGATTATTTCTTGGTGATTACTTATAGTTAAATGAAAATTCTTAAATTACAACTAATTTTTAGAATTTGAGAACTTAATTGCTGTTTCATATCATTTAAATGCTATTTAGCAAATCTCCTGTTCCTGTTAATTCTGATGATAATCCTCAACAGACTTCAAGGGTGAAGTGTACTAAAGAGGTTCTTGAAGACTTTTTGAATGATGAGGTAAGTAAAGTGAAGTCTCATTAGCCTATTAAAAGAAGATTTATGACTAATACATAGATAGGAATTTCTTAAGTTATTAGGTATTTTAAATCAAAACAGCCACATCCTCTCTCCCTAACCCATGTTCATAAAACCATCACTCCTAGAATTTTTGGTTGTTTTAATACATGAATGTATTAAAGAACCAGGTAGGGGGTGTTTGGAAAACAAAGTGAACCATTAGAATATAGAGAAAATTAGATTTTCTTGTAGACTAGTTGTTTACTTATGTTCCTAAGATACAATGATAAATCTATGGTAATATAAAATAAATTATTACCCAATTTTACAGAATCTTCTAAGTAGCCCTTAAAGCAAAAGTGATACATAATTTGACTTAAAAGTATAAGCATACCTATTAGATACTGAAATAATACATGCAGGTGCTTAACTAAATGATTTGAGAGGTTAAATACTTAAAAATTAGCTAAAATATTAATGAAATGTCCTTGAGAGGAGTTTGTTGAAGTAAGTAGGAGCAGTCAGAATATGTCTGACTTTAGCTGTACATTACCTGCTGTGGAGATACTGGTGAGTAAAACTTCATTTGTGAAATATTTGGGAGATACTTGAGTACTAAGCACTTTTCTAGGAAATGTATTCCTTGTATTGTACTGAATAAGATAGGAAGAGGTATTTGCCCTCTTTTGTTTTGTATTCCATTTGGGGAATCAAAAAAAGCCAAGGCCTAATATGTAATGTATAAGGAAATACTGTAAATGTTAGGAAAAAAACTAACTGGGTGATGGAGATCAGGGTATAATTTTATGAATGGTGAAATTTTATTAGAAACCTGAAATGAATCAATTAGCCAAGCACCCAAAAGTGAATAACTTTATATGAAGTGGTAATAGAAAGTGTGGGAAATCCAAGGCAGAAACATGTTTACCATCTTCCAGGAAAGTCAGAGTCCAATCGTTTAACACCATCAGAATGAACAACAAAGGTAAGAATGGTTAAAAGGAAATTGGAGTGGTTGCCTAGAGGATCTTGTAAGCTGTAACGATTTTATATTTTGTTGTCAGATAGGAAGTTGCTAGAGTTTTTAGTGGAAAAATGAAGTAATCTACATTGTTATATAGAAATTACAGCTGTGTGGGACATACTGTAAGAGGACCCACAGGAGGAGTTGAGAATCTAGTTTGTAGGTGTCCTGGTGACTTTCCTGTTGCTGGGACACACACAATACCCAACACTTAGGAGAGGTTTCTTTTGGCTCATAGTTTTAGTTCATAGTCAGCTGGTTCCAGTGGTAGAGGGGCACAGTGGAGAATAAAGATGTTCAACCCATGTCAGCCTGGAAACAAAGAGAATGGAGGAGCCAAGGACAAGGCAATATCCTCCCAGGTCATACCTCCCCTCTAACCAGGCCAGGCCCTCCTGAAGCACATTCACCATTAACTCATCAATGGATGAATCCCCTGATTTGTATATTGATGATCAGTCATCTTCGAAAAGCCCCAACTCTGAATGCATGAGATTTATGGGGAACATTTTGTATCTGACCCATATAGGAGACTTGCAGTCTTCTGGGATAGTGATTGGGCTTACAGTAGATACATGAGAGGTGGTAAGAAATTGTTAAGCTTGAGTTATATTTTGAAGGTAGGTCTGATAAGGTGATGTGCTTTGAAGAAGAATGGTAATGGCAGTTTATTAGGAAAGGAACATTGGTAGAGGAACATATTGGGAAGGCTTTAAGGTTTGGGACAGATGTACCAACTCTTCCTTGCCCTCTTCCTTGCCTACACATACAGAACCACATTACCAGAGTCTGTGTTTTGAGGTGTTCTTTGTTAGAAATAATTTTGGATGTACACCAAGTTGCAAAAATGATGTGTGTTTCTGTGCTCCCCTTCTCCCAGTCTCCTGCATTATTTTATATAACCATAGTGCAATGATTACCATTAGGTAATTAACAGATGCACAACTGTTAATTAAGCTGTCGACCTTACTACAGTTTCACAAATCTCTTAACCAGTAAACTATTGCAGGTTCTACCCTAGGATACAACATTACATTTAGTTGTCATTTCTCCTGATGCTTTTGAAAAGTACTCATTACTTATTTTGTAGGTAATTTGAGTATGAAGTTTTCTTGTGATCAGAATGAGATTGTGCCTTTTTTGGAAACATACCACATATCAGAGGATCATGTTAGTTTGATGTCATTAATATATATTAATGCAATAAAATAGTAAACTAATAGTTATTAATAAGAGTATTATGTTTATAGTCTGTTAATAATAGTGATGTTAACTTTGAATGCTTGGTTAAGGTGGTATTTACCAGTTCCCCTTGGTGAAGTTACCAGTTCCCCTTGGAATTAATAATGGTCTCATAGGAGATATTTTGAGACTATAAAAACTATATATTTTAAGAATCTCATTAAGGAATTTGTCTTCTGCATTTATTAATTACAGTTCTTGTATCAAGAGTTATGCCTTCTGCCTTGTTTATTATTAGGGAGCTAATCAATAATCAAAATTCCCAGCTGTCTGCATGAGGGGTATGGTGAAAGGATGAAATAAGCAGAAATAAATTCAGTAACGCATGATAGGGAGGCTGAGTGTCTCCGGATGGGCAAAGACAAAGACACTATGAGCTAGTCCCTGTTTATTGAGTGTATGCAATAAGTGAAGGGATTATCAAATGACTTGGGGGGGTGACTTATGCTAATAAGGCTCTATGTTGATGAGGACTGTGGCTCCTGGAGAGCCAGCACATTAATAAGGAGTTTGTTCTCTCCCCAGAGTGAAACCTTACTTTTATTACTACTGGGTTCTCAAGGAACCAGGATGTCTTCAGCTGATACAGTCTTGCCTAGATGTCACTGCATCACGTAACCATTGCAGCCTCTATTAAGGCCTCCGAGCTCTACCCTCAATTTATAATTTGTGAGCCCCAACAGTTTGTAAAGTTTTTAATTTCAATAAAGACTCAGACATGTATTTTATTGTAGGTTAATAGTAAAAATTGTTTTTAAATTGTTCCAATTTAGACTCTTAGGAATTCTGTCTGATAACTCCTATGTCTTTTTTGATATGTCACCATTTTTTTGAGTACTTCTCTGGGGAGCTGTGTTCTTTTTATTGAAAATGGTGTTTAGAAACTTGATTTAGGCAATAGGTTTCCTTATTGCTACTGTATTATTTTTTATTCTACACTCCCTTGCCAGTCTGATCTAGGAAACATGTATTTATGTATCTGTGTATTACCATACATCTGTGTTTATATATTTGCCTAGAGTTCTGGTTGATTTCTAGTCCAATTCTGGTTTGTTTTAGTTTTTTGTTAATCTAATTTTTTTTCATCTGTGATAATCCTATTATATACAGTGGATTTACTTCTTGGGTCAGTGTTAGTATGCATATGAAGTAGTTTTGAAATTGCTAGCCCATATATATAAGAACCAGATTTACTAACTAGATTGGCTGATTTATCTATGTATAGACTTTTTTTGTCATTAGCTTTATGTAATCCAATCAAAATACTGTTTTCCAAAGTTACCTAGGTTATTTTCTCAGTTCCTTGTATTTTATTTTATTTTTTTTTCTTGGCTCCAAATTTATTTTTTTTCCAAATCCATTTTATTCGAGAATAAGAAGAAAGAAAAAGAAGGAAAAAAACTACAACAAAATTCAAAACACATCAATGGGGGTGACAATGGTACATACATTGTATATTGTCATCCCCAAATCATTCACCTAGAACACAAGACATCTGCATTCAATTGTCCAAACAATACAGCACAAATCTTAATCTTTAGCAAACTCAGAGAAACTCACAAACTATCTTAATTATTTTTGTATGCATTTGCATACATGTTTTTTCTTTCAGCTTGTCACATAGACAATAACGATGTTTACCCATGTGTGTCTAATTTATTTCACCAATTATTCTCAAGTTGCATCTTTTACCTCCAGGAATGTCCAGTTTATCCTTCTTTATGGCTGAGTAGTACTCCAGTCTATAAAAATACCATATCTTTTTTATCTGTCCCTCAGTCGATGGGCATTTAGGTTTCTAAGAACTGGCTATCATAAGCTCTGCAGCTATAAATATGGTTGCACATATATCATGTGGTATAATATTTTTAATGCTTTTGGGAAGATAACCAGAAGGGATAGCTGGATTGAATGAGCCTCCAATTCTAGTTTTCCACAGTGATTTCCACAGTAGTTGCACCAGTCTGCATTCCCACCAACAGAGCAGGGTTTATTTTTCCTTACAGCCCCTCCAGCATTTCTTATTGCTTGATTTCTTGATAGTAGCTATACTTTTTAGAGTGAAGTAGAATCTCAATGTTTTAATTTGCATCTCTAGAATGACCAATGATGTTGAACAGTTTTTCACATATTTATTGGCTGTTTGTATTTCTTTATCTGAGAAGTATGCATTCATCTCAGATGCCCATTTTTGGATTGGGCCTTTAAATCTGGGAGGACTGATTACTTTGAGTTCTTTATATATTCTCTGTAGTAATCTTTGTCTGAGGAACAGCTGGCAAACATTTTCTCCCATGTTGTGGGTTTAGTTCCTTTTAATACATTTGTATTATCTATAATACTTTTAGATGGTTTATTGTCATGTGTATTGAATTATGTTCTATTTGGTTTGAATTGTTTGGTTTTTAGATATGTGAAATCCTCTGGTTAGGATTTAGAGAGTTAGACAAGACAATTTAGAGTTAGACAAGAACAAAAATGGAAATACCTCGATTTATCAGGTTTTAATGGAAAGTCTCAGAAAGCTTGTAGCTCATGTCAGTATTGAGTTTAACTGAATCCTTTGTATGCCCTCTTTTTCTAAAAATTTTATTGCAGCAAAATATATATTACATAAAATTTGCCAGTTTAACCATTGTTAAATGTGCCATTCTGTGGCATTTAGCATCTTCACATTTGTGATCCATTTCTAGAACTTTTTCATGTTCCCCAACTGAAACTCTGTGCCAGTTAAATACTAACTCCTTATTTGATAAAAGCGCTATTTTTCTGTGACTGTGAATTTGCTACTCTAGGAGCCACATACAGGAAATATCATAATGTGCCACATTTTGCTTACCCATTTATTTATATCCTTCACCTTTTGACTATTGTGAGTATGCTAGTATGAATATGGGTATACAAATATTGTTTGGAATTCTTACTTTCACTTCTTGTGTATATATACGTAGAAGAAAATTACAAGATTATAGTTTAGTAAATTCTGTGTTGAAGTTTTAAAGAAAGTGCTGTAATATTTTCTTCAGTGACTACCATTTTACATCCCAATACTATTATATCCTGTTTTTATAACTGCGAGTATCTTTAAGATCTGTTTTAGCTATTCTGCTTACCTTGAAATCTTACTCAGGTCAGTAACTTCCTACATAACTAAAGTTTAAATAGTACCTATTCTGTACTGACTATGCTGTCTATTTATAGACTTTTTAAAATTATTTAGACTATTTAAACTAAAGTTTAAATAGTACCTATTCTGTACTGACTATGCTGTCTATTTATAGACTTTTAAGAAGTTTACTTACCACTTTGTGGATAACTCTCAGGATGCAGCAACTCATTTGAAGAGTGTAAAATAGTAGTTTGTTAAAGCTTTCAAAAAGAAGCTTAAAATATCCTTTAAGCTTGAAAGAATCCTGAGCACCTTATGTGATTAAGTGCTGCCCTTTGGGCATAAAATCAGTGATAACTGAGATCTGAGTTTTACTTAGGTATTTCTTTAGAGATGTGGCCCCGAAGAGATGAAAAGCCAGCATTCTTTGTATGAAAGCATATTTTAAGGATTTAGAGAGACTACTGTATTTGAAATTTTGGTCCCCACTCAACTGAAAAGCAGTTTCATTTACACTTCTGAAAAGATCATGTTGGTTAACATGCTCTCTGAAGACTTTTTTTCATTTACGAAAAACTGTGATTTTAAGTTTATTATATGAATTTTCAGAAATATGTGTACTGTTCACAAAGCAAGGTATAGAAGTACATGCCAAAGTTTTAATCATGATTTTCTCTAACTTCATTTGGGGATTATGTAGGGGGAGAGGTGAGTTAAAATTTTGATTTTTTAAAACTTTATTAATACACATCATTTGGATTTTTTGGGAGGCGTGCAGGGTACTAGGAAGCGAACCTGGGACCTTGCACTTGCTAGGTATGCACTTCACCCTTGAGCTATATCCCCAGCCAATTGTTTGAATTTTTGTATTTATTTATATTAGGGGAAAATAGTACAAAATAAAATTCCTTTTCTCAAATTTGAATGGTTAAATTCATGTGCTCATCTGTTTTGATTTTAGAGCTCTACCCTTTCAGGAGGCAAACATCATGGTCCTGTTGAAGCCTTAAAACAAATGTTATTTAATCTTCAAGCTCTACAAGAAAGTTTTAATCAGAACAGAATTATAGAACCAAAAGAAGAGATTAAGCAAGTAAGCACAAAGTTGGCTTATGAATTGAAAGCTATGAACTTGTATAAAGGTTTCTTCCTACAAGATCTTTTTCAGACCAACTACAAGCATGCTTGCATTTCAAGAGCAAATGTTGTAGTTGTATTACTATTTTTTTAGAAAGTGATTTATTTATACTTTATACTGTTAGACTTGTTTCTTTACCCTTTTAGCATATTTTTATGATTTTGATCCAATACTTTATTTAGATAGGATTTTAGATCTGTAGTATGAATTATGTAAAATGTTTTGTAAGCCCTACAAAATGAATCTGTATTGCCACGACCAAGTGTGGCTCCTGAGGTTCTTGGGAGTTAAGGACCAGTGAGAGGATGAGAAAAATACAAGAAAAAGCTAGGGTCAGGTGGAGCCCTTACTCTCCTGAAGGGAGGAAAGGAACTGCCCTGCCACTGTAGCACCTTTTATACACTGGGAAAGATGATGTCAATTTCAGCCCCTGTGCCTTGCAAGCTATTGCTTGGCAGGCCTGGGCCCCTTGTGTTCTTGTTTGGGGAACAACTTGTTTACATAGCTTGTTTCGGTCTGGTTTTTTTGGACTGACCTTGCTTTAGCCCCACGCACATGATCAATCGCCAGCTTCAAGGGCTCCCTACCCTGTATGGGTCACATTGTATTTACATTTGGGGAAGTCTAAAAAACCTTTTCAGTATTAGACGTATCTGTCATCATCTGACGTTTACTTTTGTTACTATTGACTTGAATATAGTTATATAATATTTTAGGGCCATTGTGTTTTTAAAATTTGTGTATTTCCTGGAAATGTGAAACTTTCTGCTTTGTACTGCTTTTCTATGGGGAATGAATTTTCTTCACAAAAGTGTAGTGCTTAAAAATAAAGGTTTTTTTCAAGTCTAAATTCAAATTCTGCCACATACTAGCAAGTGGAACATTTGTGTAGATAATCACATATATTCTTCAGTTTATTTTCTTTAACTTTTTAATTTAAAAAATTGCATATATTTTGGTGTATAATGTGTTTTGAAATATATATATATATAGTATCTAATAGCTGTATTGGATTAGTTGATGTGTATTGCCTCACCTACTTTTTTTTGTTATGAGAACACTTATCAAGAGCATAATGCATTGTTACTAACTGTAGTCACCATATTATGTAGTAGCTTTCTTGAACTTAATCCTCCTAATTGAAATTTGTGTTTTGACGAGTATCTCCCTGTCTACCACCAGCCCCAATACTGTTAACTACCATTTTACACTTTTCCCCGTCTTTTTAAAATTTCACATACGAATTAAATCTTGTAGTATTTGCCTTTGTGTGCATGACTTATTTTTCTTACCAGTTTCCTTTTCTGCAAAAGGAAGTTGTTTGAGACAGACTACATAAAATAGGTAGTGTAATACTTGACCCCTGATCAATGCTTAAATTGTAGCTCCTTTTATTGTCTTTAATCTTCTGTTACTATTACTCAGTAGAGCTTTGTGATTCAATTTCATTTTCAACACAAATGAGCGACTCAGTTCTTGAGAACTACTACCAACTTCATTTGAATTGTATTTAAAAATTTTCCTTTGACCATTCTAAAAATCATGGCACATAACATATTCTTTTAAGTATCACTGAGACATAATCTCTTTAGTAAAGTATAATTTCAAGCCAAGATTTGATTTTTAGTGAACATGTTTAGAAGCATGCTCTAGGGTGCATCAAAGGTGAAGCCATGTGATATTTATAGTGTTTTTAGAGTAAATAAGAAATAAAAAAAAATGTAATGCTCTGCTGAAAACTTTGCTAGCAGTAATTTTTAATTTTTGAAATGTATTTTAAAGGGGATAAAACACAATAAAACCAATCAAAACCAGTATAAGAGATACAGGCCTAAAAACATTACAAAATCAACAATAGTTACCCTAATGCCTTTTGATGTCTTCAAAATAGCTCCAAATAACTTCAGAAATAGTAAAAATCAAACAATAGATTAGAAACCATACAAACAAGACAACTGAATGCAGTAAAGGACCTTGAAACAAGCCAATAGCAAATCCAAAATTGCTACCCATAATATATCTTGCTATCTTTGGAATAGCTGCTCCTGCCATCGGATTTGACGTAAACAAAACAAAAGAGAATAAAACCCAACCCAACCAAACAATGGCAGTGATGTAGGACCTCCAAAACCAGACCATAGAAAATCAGCAATGGCTGTAATCCTCAGAAGGAGATCCTCCTAGGTGTCACACTGTGTACCGCTATCCTCTGAACCTATGATCAGACCACTGGCCCTCGACCTACAATATTAGTGAAACACTGAGACACCACAGGCATCCACTTGTGTTTCACCTCCATAGTTATCATCACAGCCTGTGTTTCTCTGGATAAGCCAGTTGCTTAACGAGTGTGATTGGGGCAGCTGTGGAATGGTACTTGTTTGCCAGCCTGCATCCCGGAAGGGGCCAGGACGTGGCTGTTCCAGCCTGGAGGGAGGGCGGGGTCTGTGCATGGCCCTAGTTCCCAGGTTGGGTTTGCTCACTAATGTGTAGAAATAACTAGAAGCACAGAACATATTTTTAATGTTCTTAATCACATTTTAAGTTGCACTGAATTTTAGATTTACAACATGTTTAAAACACTGCTTATATTTTTATTTTCTGGTGTTTTCAATAATAGGTTTCAGAAGATGATTTCTCTAAATTGGAATTGAAGGCAAATATGATTCCTATTACTAGGTCCCTTCAAAAGTAAGTATTCTTTGCTACTCTGGATACAAATCTACTTTGTTCTTCTCTGACTGAAGTTAGGGTGGAATTAAATAGTTCAAAGACTAGAAGTGTATCAGCCATATTTCAGCTTTTCATAGCACATTATCTTAAAATGTTGCTTTCTCTTAAACCTATGCTATTTCCTATTTATCATATTCTGAGGATTCAAGGAGACACTTTAGACAGTTAAAATATAACATGAATGGTTCAGATTCTTCATTCATTTTAAAGTAATGGTAACATTTGAGAAGTTAGCGATTTAGATATCCTCTAATAACAACTTGTTATTTTCTTTTCTTTATTTTTTTTGTCTTTTTGAGACAGAGTCTCGCTATGCAATTCAGGCTGGCCTTGAACTCACTTTGTAGCCCAGGCTGGTCTGGAACTCTCAACCATTCTCCTGCCTCAGCCTCCCGAGTGCTGGGATTACAGATGTGAGCCACCACACCTGGCTTAACTTGTTATTTTCATACTGGTCCTTTAGGATATACACAGTGATTCTAAGTGTAGTATTTGTGCCACACTTACAGGAATCTAATGTAGATAAAATACTCTAGATATGGTCTAATTTTCTTAGTTATGTTGTCTTTTATTAAAAAGCAGACTATTCAAGTCTCAACTACGGTTATTATATTGCCGTAGTACTTGCATGTGATGTTTTGTACCTGGTAAAAAACAAGGAGAATGATGAGTAACACTTATTGAATACTTAGCAAATGTCAGTCCTTTTGCTGCTGCTAAGTGTTGATTTAGAACAAGTAGTGCTGAAGATAATTCTTGTGCCTTCCAAGTGCTGTTATCATCATTATAATACAGATCAGGGCATACACAGGAAGTAATAAAACTTGCTCAAAGTTACTCACTAGTAAGAAGTTTTACTGAGACTTAAATTTGAGATTTGAAAAGCTGTGTTAGAAACATTCATTAATGATAATGGTGAATTGTTAATTGAGACTTTGTAGAGGACCTGAGTAGACCTTTTAGGTAAATAACCTCATTCTGCTTTTAAATTTTAAAGTGAAAGACCTTTCCATTTCTCTTAAAAGCATGACTAAAATTGTGTTGAAGACCCAGATGTTTTCTGAGTTAGAGTACATACATTAACACGTGGATACTGATCCATATAGGTGCTTTTAACATTTGCTAAAATTTTTTTAAAAATAGTAGTAGTTTTTCTACTGTAAACAGTAGTCTTTAAAGAGTAAGCGTCTTTAAAAGATAAAGATTGTACCTTGAGTGTTTTATTGACCTAAGGTGAATGTCCTATTATATAACTTCTGTTTCTGAACTAATAGTTTCTGTTTGTAACAGTTTGCATGACTAGCTGGTGTTAAGGTATTTCCATTAGTTTTAGGGAGCTCCAAGCTTCTGGTTTAGGTTCCATTTTTCTTATAGATTTTTGTGTTCTTCCATTAGAAACTTTTTTTTTTTTAAATGACGACTTACTCTGGCTGAGGTATATGGAGAGTGATCAAAAGATAGAGTGAATGTTTAAGCCAAAAACTTATTACATTAAAAGATCCATTGCCAAGAATGATGGGCATGTTCAAAGTGGGGGCGAGTATTTGGAGCGGGATGAATGGCAAGGTATAGTTCCTGAAATACATGTTTAAATTTAAACAGTCACATTTTTTTTGGTCTTTTTGATACAGGGTCTCACTATGCAGTTCAGGCTGGCCTTGAGCTCACTGTATAACCTAGGCTGGTCTCAAACATGTAATGATCCTCCTGCCTCAGCTTCCCAAGTGCTGGGATTACAAGCATGTGCCACCATGCCCAGCTAACATTCGCCATTTGATCACTTTTATTGATAAACCATTTATAGCAGTTTCTGCCAAATAAAAAACATTACAGCATGTCCTCATTCACTTTATGCACCAGATCTGTTGCAGGCTGACATCTAAATCTTTGCCCAAGGCAAAATGACCGTAAAGGATAAACGGATTGAAGTAATCAGGGTAGCCACAACAGCACAATTAAACATGAAAGAGGACTTTCAGAGCTGCTTCAGAAAGTGGCAAGAATGATAGAATAAATGTTTAAAGTAAGGGGGAATTCTTGAGGGGAATTAATGGCAGCTTTTCTTATAATTTAAAAAACATCACTATATTTTTGGTCACACCTAGTAAATGACTGACAACAACTTACAATGTTATTTTTTTCAGGTTTCCTCTTATAGTAGGAATCAAAATTATAATGGTTTTGTTTTTATTCCTTAGCCTTGTGCTATATAGTCACATATTAGGAATTCCATGAAAACATTTTAACTGAAATCCTTGTAAGAAAAATTTGTCATCTTTAAGCAAATGAAAGAAGTTCAGTTTTTGAGCAAGAGATTTTCCTAGAATCTTTTATACCATGAAGGCAACCAGCTGATAAGATAGTCGTAATATATATCTTACATACCTTGAAGACCAGTAATTTTAGACTATTGTGAAATCAATACTTCAAAATAATTTATATTTAGCTTTGGAGTATGTTTATAGATAATTTTCAAAACAATTGGGATTTTGTAGTTTTCAATACTAAAGGCCGTGCTGTGAAGTACAAATTTAATGACAGCTAGAAAGTTGTCTATTTTCCCAGTTCCTTTTTCCTGTTCAGTTTTCTAGACTTCATTCTATACTAAAGATAGAACTACCTCTCATACTTGTAAAATGTGATCTTTTTATTCTAAAGTACTAGCACTTTCCCTTCCAGGGAATGGTCGGCATTGAAAGACAGTGAAAGCAGGGGATGGTGGTGCATGCCTGTAATCCTAGTGCTCTAGATGCTGAGGCAGGAGGATTGCTGTGAGTTCCAGACAGCCTGGGCTAGAAAGTAAGCTCAAGTTCAAGGCCAACCTGAACTGCATAATGAGACCCTATCTTGAAGAGACCAAAAAAGAAAAGACAGAGGAAAACCTTCCATTCAGTTTTTGCTGGATATAGTCTCAATATAGGCCAGTAAACGTAAAGAAGACAGTAATATTATTAATAGTCACTTTATGAATAAAATATGGCTAAGCTGCCTTTGTATGGCTTCTTAGTGAGTTTCTGTAGGTGGTTTGTATTTGCTGTAAATCCCATGAAAAGGTACATTGAGTTTCTTCAGTATTTTTTTTTAATTGTTTACTAGTACATGAATGTAGTACATAATGTTTACTGTGGGAGTGGAATATGTGTGGGAGATTGATATGTGTATGTAACACATCTTAATTGTTTTCATCCCTTTTTCCTTCCCTCCTCTACCTGTCCTTTGATTCTCTTCCTGTTACCTTTTATTTTACTATGGGTTTCTCCTATAAGCAAAATAATGTGATATTTAAGTTTGTGTGTGAGGTTAATTTCACTTAACCAATGTGGTGTGAGGATGCATCGATTTTCTTATAGAGACTCCGATTTATCTTTCTTAATGGTGGAGTTGTACCCCATGATGTGTAAGTACACATCATCTTCTTCGTCTGTTGATGGACATATGGGCTGTGAATGGCTATTTGTTGTAGTAAATCATCCTTTGTGTTTCCCTCATTAGCCATTTTTTCATGGTTGTAGAGAAGAAAATCAAGAAAAATTTTCTCTTACAACTTTATTTCCACTTGTTACATACACATTTGAAGTAGCAGTTGCTACTTCATAGCTCCTCGGCCAAGTATATTCATTAGTTTAGTCTTAGGCAGGGCAGGTAGAGGTTAAATGAAAAGAAATGTATGCTGATTATGTAGACCAAGCATAGGGAATCAGAATGTCACATTTTTATTTAACTTTTTTTATTCCTTCTACCATAAGACACGTTTTTCTTTGCTTCCAGTTTTTTTCCTTTCTACTGTTTTATATGGAAATAGAATGGAAATCAGTTTTAGTGAATTATATATTCAAGTATTATAACTTTGATATGATAATATGTTATTTCTTTAGTCATGCATTTGAAATAATACATTCAAGATAGAGATAAGTTAAAAATGATTTTATAGGCAGCTGATGGTTATAGCACACCTGTTAGCCCAGCATAGGGAGGCTGAGGCCAAGAGGATTGTTGCAAGTTTGAGACCAGCCTGGGCTACAAAGTGAGCACAAGGCTTATAGCAAGATCTTATTTCAAAGAGACCAAAAAAAAATTTTTTTCATAAAAAGCATGTGTCTGAGTTAAAACTTTTTGCATAGCTTAAATTAACACTTTGTATATGTCATTACTTGTGAAAAGGGATTTTCAGAAAGCATCAATATCTGGATCATCTGTTTGGTGGATGATCAGTTAAGGTGTGAAATTATCCTTATTTTAGGAAAAAATCCACATTGTTAATATAACAACATGTTTGGATATTGCTGGGTTTTTTTCCTCTCAATAATAAAAATGAGTTTTCTCAGAAATGTGACTGATGTGAAATGGCATTTAAAAAATATTAAACCATCATAATTGTAAATGTTAAAGCTAAACTAAATGTTTTTATTTCCTAAGTAGTATGCACAGCATACCAAAAGAAAAAGTACCATTTTGCAGAGTTTTGGGGAAAAATACATGAAAAGTAATGTTTTGTTAAATATGATACAAATGACATACATAATTATTATTATTAGAATATTTGACAAATTAACTTAAAAAGATGCATGTCGATACTGTAATTTTTAAGTAAATGTTAATACAGCATTAGATGAATATTTTAACATTCAACTATTCAGATACTAAGGTTTTATAAGGAGCAGTTTTCAAAGTTTGACATTTATATTCTTTACCTTCATCTCATGCTAATTTTGAAATTAATAAGCAATGTAATCACTATATCTTGCTGTCTGCATTGGCTGTTCAATCCTAAATATTGGTTTATAATGTATTTTATACTTTTAAACAAAGGGCCTTGCATCATTTATCTCGCCTGAGAGATCTGGTTGATGATACCAGTGGACAACAGTGACTGAAAATGTGAAAAATGTGAAGAGGAAAGTAAAACTGTCACCACAATAACAACAGAACAAACACGTATTGTTTTCTATTACTTAAACTGAACAAAGTAAATATAAGCCATATATTATTCTATGATCAGTTCAGCTTTTTTTCTGAAAAACTAAACTTGACAATGACCATCGGTTTTGTGATCTAACCTCATTTTGTGCTGAAAAATGGAATGTATTCTGAAGTCTGTCTTCAAATGTTTAAGGATAAATCATTTCTGTTTTTAATGTTTACTTGATCTTAGCCTTCTGTAGTATCATTTTATCATTTGATTCTAGAATACTAAGTTTCCTAGTTTCTATCTCTAATCTCTTCTGTGGACCTTTTCTATTTTTTAAACAAAATTAGCATGCAGTTTTAAGCTTTAAAGAAATACCAAAGTTTTATAATATATTTAATATGGGAGTCTGTTACTTTTAAATTTCAGAAACTAAATATTAAAGATATATTGTATTTGTAAATGACATCAGTTTAACAGTGATACAGTGCTAAAAGAAATGTTCTTTAAGACTGTGGCATCCAGCAGAATCTCTGCATTTAATTCTTTGATTCTATATAAGGTAATATTGATAATACATGACATTTTATGAATCATAAAATGAAGGGGAGCTACCTGAGTATTTAATGTTAGATTATTTTCCAGGTTTTGGTTTTGGAGTTAGCTGCAGCTATTAAAAATAATGATGCAATTGTCAATTGCTTTCTGTAATTTGAAACTACACTTAAAATGAGTGTGGAAACAGAAAGGAACACTGTTTAAAGCTTTGTTTTAAGAGTTGATGTTTTATAGCCTTCTGTAGTTTTCACAGTTTATCTGTAGCTAGAAGGTAGGAGAGCTCTATAATTTTGCAGTTTCACCAGACAGTGTTTCCATTAAGTTGGAAGCATGTTTACCAAAACTAAAAATTAAGTCATCAAGCATAACAAACATATTTTAAAAGCCTGATGAAATTAAAGACTATCTATCTGTATATGTAAATACTACACATTAGCACTTTACCCAAATGGCACCATCTTTGCTAAGTAGATTACTGCTAAATAGGAATTTATAGGCACATAGTCAGATAATTTATTTTCCAAATTATTGAGAGGGATTAACAAATACCTTTGTTATAGAATTGACATGTCCAACACTACAGAGTGAACCCTGCCGGTTTTCCTCCCTTGTGAATTTCTCATCATATTTGACTGATTTGAGAGGCACTTACTGATAGGTTTTTATTTACCTGTGAAAATCTTTTTTTGCCATTTACATGTTCTTTAATGATTATGATCTCCTGCATGGCAAATAGCTTATGGAGAAATTACTTCAAAGATCAAAGAAGTACTGATTTTTTAAAATGTAGATTTAATTTTATAAACATTGGGCGGGTCATTTTTCAGGCCTGGTGAAATGTATTAGACAAACTAAAAAATGCAGAGATGATGGAAGAATAACTTCTAATTCTATGTTGAAGGTTGGGTGTATACCCATAATCCCAGCATTCAGAAGGCTGAGGCAAGAAGATCACTGCGAGTTCAAGGCCAGCCTGCGCTACAAAGTGAGTTGAAGGCCAGCCTGAACTGCATAGTGAAACATTGTCTCAAAAAGACCACCGAAAAAAATCCGTATTAATAATATGCTGACATACATAACATATACGATGCCTAGAAAGTACCTCTAAAAAGAGCATTCTGTAATGACTGAATAATACTGATTTTGTTGGTACCCCTATTTATAAGAACATATCTCCAATACTGAACAGGAGGTGTCCTAAAATTTTATGTTACAAATGATATTTTAAGGAACTTTATTATGTGTACTAAATATTTGTTTTTGTTTTTTATAAATATGGAAAGGTTTAATCTTTTACCTAAAAAAATTAATTTTATCAAAATTATTATTCCCAACCTTCTTAAATATATTAGAGTCAGTGAATCTCAAATCAAACTGTCTAAATGATAAATGTTCAAGAAGTTAAGACTTGATTTAATTACATCCTTAATCATGTGAGTTTTCATTTTTATTTTTAGATTTCTGGGGGAAAAGAGGGGACATCAGTATGGAGACTGCTATGTTGAGAGTTTAAAGCAAATAAAGAGAAGATCAGATTTTAAAGATTGCATTTTGAGTGTAAAATTTTATCTTACTCTTTTAGGTATATGGAAAAAATACTTAACATCTTCAAGTTTTTCAGTTGAGTATGAAGAAAATTAATAAAGCTTGATTCCAAAAATTGTTTGGGCTTAGGGACCAATGTGTAGAGAGTAAAGACTGAAATGACTTTTCTATCAATACAAATTCTACTTTTCAGGTTTTTTTTTGTGTGTGTTCAGCATCATAGAGATACCTCACCAAATTGAGGGACCATTTTCTTGGGTTTAATTTAGGTGTAGTTGTTTTATTCCTTGTGAAAATTTATGAATGTGTGTGTGGTTTTTTTTTGTATTTTGTGTTTAATGCTGTATATGATAACGTTTTGTTAAATTATATGTAGTTACACAAAAATGTCACCTAAACATCAAGGTGATTCCTTGGTTTTTCCTGTTTGAATACATGGAATTCCTTTAACAGATTTGAAATTGTTTCATTTTTTTTGGCCTCGCTGTTCAGTCTATATTTGAAAACCTATTTGGTAGAAGTGCTGTGAAGTGAACTAGCCAAAAGGAAGATATCATGAAAAGTGACAGAAGAAACAAAAGACTATTTCAGAGCAATTGAAGTTTCTTTAGAGCCTCAAGATCATGTGTCTCTGTTATACAGAGGTTGGATATTGAATACCTAGTTATATGATATGTTGGATTGTATGTGATTGGCTTAAATGTAGGTCTAACATAGTTTGTATTTTTAGATATTTTCCCTGTGATGTATGATTTTATTATTTTCCTTCCCCTTTCTCTTTTTCTCCCTCTTTCTCACATCATTATAGTTCTCTATGATTGTTTTTCTTTTTTTGGACAAAATCAAAAACCTCTGCTCCTTATGGTCTGTTTATTTTCATGCTAGACCAGAATCTTCTATACGGCAGCTGTTTTCACAGTGTAAAGATAGATAGATTTTACTATTTGAATATCCCAAATCCAAAAGATCTGAAATCTGAAATGCTCCAAAATCTGAAAATTTTGAGGCATCATGTCATTGTTTGGGTTTTTAGATTAAGATTCTTCAGTTCAATTTTCATTCTTGTATTTATTCGTATTCTTAATGTTTCTTTAAGCTCTAACAGGTTTACAATTTCTTTTCAAGTATTCTGTCTTCTAAATTTTGATAGATTGGCTTTCCCTTTTCATTGCCCCGTCACTTTTATCTTCCTCATTTTGACATTTTGGGTAGTTCTTAAGCTCTATTGAGTAGAGATGAAAATACATCTCAAAAATGTTAATTGATTATATTTTATTTCCTTATGCACTATCACCTTATATTCAGATAATTACATGTTCTTATTTTATATAATCAGGAAAAAATAAATATGTAGTGTTCATAAGTATTTATTGAGGATTCTAAGCCAGATTTTATATATAGGTACACATTCAGGTAAGAAAGATAATCTTTTATGTGATACTCAAATATTTTTATTTAAAAAGCATTTTTATACTGCACCATTTATTAAAGAGGCTTTCTTCCATTGAATAAATTTTGCCCCTTTGTCAGAGATAAAGTGGCTGAGTGTGTTTGTAGTTGTGCCTGTATCTTCTATTCTGATCCTCAGGTCTGTTTTTATTTTGTTCAGTCTTGAATCCCGTGTTTTGCGAAGTTAGGTATTTGAGATTATTTTAAAAAATAATATCCTTTCACAGACCCTCAGGTCTTTTTATTACGTTTAATCTTGAAAGAATCAGTGTTTTGGGAAGCTAGTTATTTGAGATTATTTTAAAAAATAGTAACCTTTCACTGACCCTCAGGCCTTTTTATTATGCTTAATCTTGAAAGAATCAGTGTTTTGGGAAGCTAGGTATTTGAGATTATTTTTAAAAATAATATCTACTCAAGTAAAGCTAGACAGACTTAAGGGTCTGATTTTGTTTTGTGTTGCTGTAATGCTTGAGACTGGGTCATTTATGAAGCAAAAAGGTTTATTTGATTTACAATTTTGATGGGTGTAAGAACCAAACAGCATGATATTGGCATTATTATGAGACTCATTCAGGACAGAGAATTTGAAAGGGAACTGGCCATGTATAGAAGGGACATGTGCAAGAGAGTGAGCTAAGACAGCTGAATTTGCTTTACAACACTGCATTCTCAAAAACATATTTAGTCTCTACAAAATTTGAGATCCAGACATTGGAAAATAACTTGGGGAGGAAAAATGAAAAAGCAAGTCCATGGGAACCAGGAAGGAACTGACAGGAAAATTCCAAGCTACAGAAAAATTGAAAATAGAGAACACAGTGCAGAGAAGAGAAAGCGACTATGCACTGTCTGGCTCCCAGATTACCAGAAAGAGATCCTGAATCTGCAGAAACAAAGTGAATGCTAAGGACTCAGAGGTCCTCAGGTAGAAATGCAGCCATGGAACATACTACACTGGTGATTGCCGTGGTCTTCAGGGACAGCATGGATGTCTTTCCTCAGGTGAGTCATGCAGGTGCAGGTACCAGTCACATCCCTGGAGAGAGAGGCTTGGGTGTCATTCTGGGAAAACCATTGAGTGTTTTAAGCCATGACTCAGCAGCTGTGGACAGCTTCACTTCAGCACTATCCGTAATTCCCTTCACAGTGACTGGGTGAGAGCCATGAGTGATAGCTGCAGTCAAGCAGTATGCTGGGAGAGACCCCTTAAGGGTTTTGAGCTAGGCTGGACATAGCTCACAGCTTCAAACCCTCACAGCCAGAAGCTTTGACACATCCTGAGTTACTCTGGATTTGAAAGTTCTGACATTTGGATATTTGAGACCTACTGCTTGCTGGTGTCTGTATCCAGCACTGATGTGGGATCTAACTGCCTTTTTTATCTACCAGGGCGAGCCAGTACATACCTGAATGGTGTAATAGTATGGGAAGAGCATAGAGACTGTAGAGAAAATTGAGACTTACTAGACCTCAATCAAATTTTGCAGATCTAGGGAGAAGACCACACATTCAAAATCGCAAGAAAAATTTGTTTTTCCTCTTTTCCTTGCCTCCTCTTGACTGTTAATTCAGGCTCGAGGGATTTTTCTATGCAGAGAAGAAAAAAAAAAACCCGACTTTTTTTCTATGCCTCTTTTCATTTTGTTCTTCCTTTTTTTACCCCTGAATGTCTGTCCGTCCTTTCCTCCTTCCTCCCTCTCTCCCTCCCTCTTTCTTTTTTTCTTTCTTTGTTAACTGAATTGAACTTAGGACCTTGTGCTTGACAGGCAGGTGTTTTGCTGCTGAGCTATGTCCCTAGCCCTTGTCTTCATGTAATTGCTTTCTTTCCCTGCTTTTGTCTTTTATGTTCTGTCTCGGTTTTTTTTCTGTAGCCATTACAGCATTCTGTAAACATTCTTCTCCCTAGTAGGATTGTCTGTCCCACTTTTCTTATATCCTGTATTATACTGCATGCTCCCTTCCCTAACTGGAGTCAGGTCCTGGGGCAAAGGACTAATATATATAATTAGCCATGCCTAAGAAGCAGATTATAGAGTTACCCTTACTAGCAACACAGTCCACTAGATAGAAACATGAGAATGCAGACACAGATGCTCTCAAAACTCAGCTACCTCAAATCCATGGAGCACTGAGGGGGAGAAAAGCATAAGCCAAAGATCCAAATTAACTCAAATGGATAATGGCACATTGAAGAGATGTGTAGTGGAATCACAGAAGATGTAGCTGCACAGATAATGGAAGCAATGAGTTTTTAGAAAGGGCTTGAGTTTTTAGAAGGCACTAGTGGAAACCTTACTGAGCTAAATAATACAAATGGTCAGTTTGGCTAAAAATTCAGCCCAGAAATAACTGAAAATTCAGGCTGTGAAAGTGACCAGTGGGAAGAAAGAATTTTACAACTAGAAAGCAGGTGCTTTTAAAGGCTACTGAAAGACCTTACAATCTGTAACAACAAGAAAAATGGATCCAATAGCTGCTAAACACAAATCTGACTCTTGTAATAACTGGGAAAGCAGAAGGTAGTACAAAAGATGTAAAAACTTTTTCTCTAGCTGGGACGAAATACAGTGCCCAAAATGAAGGAAAGAAAGGTTTATTTAGCTCACAGTTTGTGATTTCAGTCCATAATCTCTGTTGCCTCCAAGGCATGGTGGCGTGGCTGATACCAGAAGTTAACCAGGGCAAAAGGGAAGGAGCATGCAGAGAAGACTACTCATTCTGTGTAGGCCACACCCAGTTGAGTGTAGCACTCACACCCATAATTCTAATGTTGGGCCATGAGTCATTCACAAACTCTAGAAGCCTACCTCCATGATTGCATGAGGCTTTGGGGTGACATTCAGACTCAAACCACATGAAACCTGTTTACAGAAAAAATAGAAAAAGGGGAAAGAAAAAACAAATGAGGTGTATAGAAACCCAAATAGCCATGATCAAAGGAGAACAACTCCAGTGCCTGGCATAGTCAAAGTAGTGTATATCACAGGCAAAATCTTAAAAGCAGAGTAAAGGAACAGTTCACTTGTAAAAGTTAAATAATTACAGGCTAAGAGATTTGGAGGGTTCAAGCCCCAAAAGATAAGTTTTAACCAACTTACAATATTCTGCAAAACTTTAAAATTGATGGAAAAAGGTGTTTCAAAAACAATATTTCCATGATAAAGGAGGACTCAAATTCATGACCAAGTGATCATTAAAACAAGTCTTAATGATATACTGACAAGCCAATAATGCCAGTAAGTTATATATAATTAATACACCTGGTTGGATGAGCTGTTGAGCAGGAAGAGAAAAAGAATAAAGATAATGCAATGACAGGAATAAGTTGTACTTTTCAGTAATAATGTGATTTCAGTTCTCCAAAAGACACATTGTAGAATGGGTCAAAAAAGTAAGAAAAACTAGATATGGTGATACTCTCCTATAACCCCAGCACTTGGGAGGCTGAGGCAGTAGAATCGTTTGCAAGTTTGAGACCAGCCTGGACTACAGAGAACCCAAGGTCAGCCTGAACTGCATAGTGACACCCTGTCTAAACAAAAAACAGTGCATGAGATACATTCAATTCAAAAAAATTCTTAGATTGAAAATCAAATGATGGAAATCAGTATGCTATGGGAGCCCAGGAAAAAGCAGATATAGCTATTCTAATTTCAGATAAAATGGTTTTCAAGTCAAAACTGATCTGAAGAGATGGTCATTTCATCCTAAGGAACAATTCAACAGGAAAGAAGTTCTATGCACCAAACACCAGGTTGCCAAACTTCATAAAGCAAGCATTACTCAATATAAAGAGAGAGACATATTTTTTTTGGTACCGGGGATTGAATTTATGACTTCATGCTTGCCAGGCAGGTGCTTATGCCACTGAGTTAAATCTCTGGTCCTGTTACTAATATAATTGTAATGGAGAAACTCTAATACCGCACTATTACAAATAGATAACCGGAGGGAAAAAAAATATCAGACGAATCAACTCTTGCAGTAAGTGGACTTATTACA